TCTATGCTGACGATGTCAAAATATGGAGAGCGATACAAAGCAAGGGCGATAGTTTGGAACTTCAAAATGACCTGGAGAAATTATCTGAATGGTCCCAAACCTGGCATTTTCCGATAAACACTTCCAAGTGTATTGTGATGCATATTGGCCACCAGGGTACAGATACATACATGATGAATAACACTGAGTTACATATTGTCCAGGTACACAATGACTTAGGCTTCATCGTTAGTCAAGACTTAAAGACTACTGCACACTGCCGTGCAATAGCTGCCAAAGGTTTTAGGACTTTATGGTCCATACCCAGGGCTTTTAGGCATCTTGACGCTAAAACGTTTCTGACTTTGTATACAGTGTTCGCACGCCCTAAACTTGAGTACTGCATACAAGCAGCTAGCCCCTGCCTAAAAAAAGACAGTGAACTCTTGGAAAGGGTTCAGAGAACAGCCACTAGGCTGATTCCCGGAATAGCGAAGCTCCCGTATGGTACTAGACTGACCAAGCTAAACCTATTTCCGCTGTCATATAGAAGAATCAGAGGCGACTTGATTATAGTTTTCAAATTGCTTAATGACAAATTTGCACCTGATATGCCATCATTTATCTTGTCTTCCAAAACAGAAAATCTACGAGGACACTCCAAAAAAGTTCACAAGCCCAGAACGAATTACTTGTCAGCTGACTACCGACTTTCCCATCGAATAATCAACGAGTGGAATTCATTACCTCAGCACGTGGTTGAGGCTCCATCCGTCGACTCCTTCAAAAGGAAGTTGGATCAGCTGAGAGACCATCATTGCCAGGACTAACACAGGCCATCAAGCCTCCTGTCCTTTCCAAACTGAAACTGAAACTGAATATTTGTAAATCTGTAGTCAGAAAAGTAAATCAATGGTTAACGCGAATAGGGTGATTATGATTTTCATAGAATTACTTGCTCAATGAGCATCAAGTTAACTTGAGGAATGTTTTCCAAATAACTAATCATATATCAACCAGTTTTCTATCATATGATTTACGTATGCATCTGCTGAGTACAAGCTAGACTATAGGCATTCATCTTACAAAATTAAACAGAATGGTTTTTTTCACCATATACTCCAATATAGCCACTAATTCAACAAGGCAATTTATTTAATGAATCACGGCAATTTACAAATAACATCTCATTTTTTTCCAAAAACACTGAACGTCCTTTTATTTTAACATTAAATTTTAAAAATTAATCTTTTTATTCATACGTAAATGTTGTTAATATTTCACCATTTAACATAAACTCTTAATTCTTTTACTGGTTATTATGTAATCACTCAATTTTATAACAAATCAGGAGCGAGAAAGCAGCAAGGTCAGACAACATACAATCTGAAGCACTAAAGTAAGGAACAGAGGTATTTGCGAAGATACTCCACACTCTATTAGGAAATATTTGGGAAGAAAGACAAGCGCCAACATACTAGAAAGAAGGTTTCCTCATCAAGATAACAAAGAAAGGAGATCTCAGCAAGTGGGAGGAATATAGGGTTATCAAACTACTATCAGTGTCAGAAAACGTTTTCCAGTGTTGATGAACCGGATGGAAGACTCAGTAGACGCCAACAGGATGGATTCTGTGCACAGACCAAATTGCGACACTACGGATCATCGTTGAGCAATCAATTAAATGGAACTCGTCAATATACATCAACTTCCTTGACTGAGAGCAGGCATTTGACAGAGTGGATAGGCGAAACTTACGGAACCATCTTCGATACTATGATGTACCTGGGAAGATCCCCAACATCACACAGAATTCATGAGACGGACTACATTGAAAAGTCATGCTTGGAGACCTGCTCACAGATGTATTGAATGTGAAGATTGATGTCAGACAAGGTTACTCACCTTCACCTTTACTCTGGTAATTAGCTGAATGATAGTGATCGTCACATCTGAGAGAAAGAACGGAATATAGCGAACACCTTGGATGTAGCTAAAAGTTTGGACTTCGTAGATGACCTGGCTCTTCTACCCCATACACACCAACAAATGCAAGTGAAGACAGACCATGTGACAGCATCCTCTGCAGCAGTAGGCTTCAACATATACAAGGGAAAATGCAACGTCCTAAAATATAACATAGTGAGCACCAACCCAATCACATTCGATGGAGAAGCTCTGAAACAGGTGGAAACTTTCACCTACCTGGACAACATCATCGATGAACAAGGAGGATCTGATGCAGATGTAAAGGCACTGATTTGCAAAGCAAGAGCGGCACCGAAGTCAGAATTCTCAATACATATATCGAAGCAATCCTAATGTACGGAGCTAAAACTTGAAGAACAACCATAATCATCCTCAAAAACACACTGGTATTTATAAATAGCTGTCTACGTAGGATACTCAATATCCGTTGGCCGAATGCCATCAACAACAACAAAAACAACCTACTGTGGTAGAGAACAGACTAACTTCCAGCTGAAGAGGAAACTAAGAAAAGACTCTAAAGGTGGATTGGACAAACATTTCAGAAATCACAGAAGTGAGTCACGAAGTAAACCCTAACTTGGAATCCTGAAGGCGAAAGAAGAGGCCTGTGCTACACGAGGAGCGATTGGCGTAAGTAAGTAATGTTATGTATTTCCACACGTACATCTTACTTTTGAAATACGTAAGGCAAAAACTTCGTAATAACTATTAATCCAATTAGCACTGTGCGTTATGATGGGTTCGATTGAAATTAGTTTTTAAGTGTGTACTTGTTTTCTCATAGACCAAAAAGGCGATTATATAGTGATAGAACATGGTCACTAACTTTACGTTTGTTTCAAGGATTTTATGATTCAAGACTGTGATGATAATCAATTCAGACACCTATCCTCGTTCATGACGATTTTATTTGTACACTTGCTTCGGAGAATTTCTTTCCCGAGTTAATATACTCAAAATTCTTTCACTGAATCAAGTCCTAATAAAATCTAAAGTAAAGTTAAAAATCAGCTTCAATGGTGGATATATAAGTATTTTGAGCGTGTTGTAGAATATTCAAGGCAGTTTTACTGCACAGTATTACAAAAAAATAAGATGTTAAGTAAGTGGAAGACATTGAGTAAAACGCCAGAATGTGATTATAATTGGTCAAAGAATGAATAAATGAAAAGTTTGTAAAGAATTAGTCATCATGATATTTGCTTCTGTTACCGGCGCAGTTGAAAGTTAACCACTAACTCTTTTTAATGCAATAACCAGGCTTAATCCTTCTAATTCCTATGAGTCCCAGGAATCTCAATAAAACAGAAATGTACCCCTTGTTGTTTACTTTGGATGGATTCATTGGATTTACTTAATGTCTTGTTTTTCAGGATGTGGAATGTTATCAACCGTCTTGTCCCCTAAGATGTTGGCTCTTGAGATTATGATTAATAAAACATGCAGATATCCGTCTTTCTAACTTTTCATTAACATTTGATGGATGTTTGTCTACTTTTTTGTATTATTTGGCATTGGGGTATTTGACTGCTTGAAGTGTACTTTTTAAGAATGCATTTAGTCTTTGGTTTTCAACAATACAGTTAATTATAAATGCGGATAGCCTTTTACTTCAAGACAATTATTTATCACTTCATACTCTTTTTTGATCTCTCCTGTTAAACATAAATCTCTGACCGTTAGAAAGTTTTCATTGGATAATACTGATAGCTTGAAGGAAAAAAGCAACGAAAGTTTATACATTGCCTGCCCTGAGTTTCATATTTATGTACCTTTGTCAGGACACATCATTCCTTCGGGAAATATCTAGATGCAGGAAATAGAACTCATAGTTCCTTTTATGTTTCACTGTAAATCTGATTTCAGGGTAAACTTTAAAGGTTTGCAATATTTTTTGTCTAAAGTCTCTCACGTGCTTTTAAAATATTTTCTAAAATTTATTCTTCCGTGATAACCATGCTGTAGTTACACTCAGAGTGGTAGGAAACAAGAGAAGAATACATATTGATTTATCATAACACTTGCTCATCAATTAAACACATTATGTTCTTTCTGCAAGGGTGTGTTTTGACTAACACTGTTATACAGTCTACAGAACAGCATCTACTGAAGTTCAATTATCGTTCACTTCATGTTCCCTATAATGAAACGCCGACTCTACCGTAGAAATAACTAGCCAGATATCAGAAAGTTTGTCACTGTATCATAAACTGAATGTTTGCATTGCAGAAGAGAATTATGAAGTAGGTCAGTCTGTATTATTACATAGTTCAGCCTAGTGTTATCTAGACTAGCCATTAGGTTATCTGCTAATGTGTTGTTTTGTGAATTGCTCCTTGGTACTTCATCGCTTCATCTGTAAATAATTTTGCAGATTCTGAATTTAGCATTGTTGATATATGTTTGTTGGAGTTATTTAGATTTCAAAACCAAAAAGAACATGAGGTCTGAACATTGGTTACTTACATTTTTTGTTTTAATAATAGGTATATTTTTGAACAAACTAGCGACATCATAGCTTCTCGGCAGTACTTCTGAGTTATTTTTATGCTTAATATAGCTGGTTGTCTACTATTAGGTGATAAACATTTTAGGTAGACTAAATATTGTGAGACATTACAGCATCATCTGGAATGACAGATCATAAGCACACGATTTGGTTTTTCTTACGATTAAAATTACATAGCTACAATAGAAGTATGTTAGATTGTAAAAACCTAATCAATGTGGAGATGTAACGCCAAGTTGAAGCTCATTAAAACTGTTCAATATAACGCCATGGGAATGATGATCAAGTTCTTTATCGAAAATGTCACATGGCTGGTGTACCGAAAGGCCTGAAAACATTAACTATTAATTGAAAGCCGGAAATTAGGAGTTTTGGTCTAACATATAGTAAGCCGTTATACATATCCTACTTAAAATTTGAATAAAATTTAGTAAATGAACAAAAATAGGCTTACTTAATCCCTAATTGTGTTTACCAACTATTTGTCTTTCAGAAATAAAAAATATCAGCCCCTTTACTACTTAGACATTACTAGGATGATATTAACAAGTATATCATATATCCAAGGTCAGCTTACAACACTTCATGTACTAGTTGACATAGACACTGCACCCATTATTTACAACTCCATCAAACTCTAGCCAGTCAGTGATAATTTTTGCCTCTTGTTCATAAGGTAATGTCAAATGTATGCTCGATTAATTTAGAGAAGGCATTGTTATCAATCTCGTTGTGTTGGATTTATCATTTCTTTCGATAAACCTGATTACCTGTTATCAAAAATATGTGATGGAAAGACAATCAAACCGCTATAACCATACCGGTCGGACGTTTACTCATAGTTTATTTTCACCACTATTCAGCTGGCAAACTCACATTTTTCTCTTCTCTGTGATAAGGAACTTTAGTCAGTCACTTATTTAAAAGACAAAACGAATTCATTATGGATCAGTTCCACAAAAATAAATGGCAATACATCAAAATCAAACCAGTTTCATAGTCCATTCTTGAACCATAGGTCTACTTATAAATTCGGCATAATAATCCGGAACATTTTCATTTTTCATCAGGTCAGCTGACATGTGTAAACGTGTGGGTCATTTGTTGTAGTTCTTGTGATTTTTTCACATGAATTCCGCCTATTCTCATGTTTTTCAATTTTTCATGCCACTCATTTGTAGCACGTGCGATATACTTTAATAATTAATGAGAATTTCAACCAAACCATTTGAGAAGCACCTAGTTATCCACCCCTCTTCCTAATTTGTATTGGTAATTGTGATTATCTTATTGGATTACCATACCATACAGACAAGAAGATTATTGGCAATTGGTACTCTTGATGACGACAGGTGTTGGAACATATGACAGAATGCTCAAATCAATTCCCTAGACAAGTAATAAAACCGTCAAACAGTAGTAACGTGCAAGCTGTAAATTATCATAAATAGGAATCAGTTTAATAGCTGTCTTGATTAATTTTAGAAGCATCTGCCATCTGATACTATGAGGTGTCCTGGATGTGATAGAGAAGTTTACTTTGGTGAGTACAATAATTTAAATATTCTTTAAACAGCTGAGCGGGTCAGCTCATTTGGTTGTGACTGGCATCGCCAATGCCTAAAGTGCAGCAGATGTAATAAAACGATGCTTCCTGGTTGTGGCTTAGAAGTAAGTGGATCATTAAATATTTGTTTTAACTAAAGAAATTGTGTCTAAAGCAAAGTTTAGTGAATTAAATTTAAATGAAACGTGTCTGAAACAATTACTCACATTGTACGAGCTATTGTTGCATTCATTCAACGACTGAGTGTTTTGGCTAGATTTCTAATAATTTTACGATCCACTTTACGCAGCTATAGTATATATTATCGATTTTTATTAACATATCATTTTAATTGACATGCTTACTGTATTAGTTCCCCACACTAAATAAATAGCAAAAGCAGACCATTGAAGATGTTTATTGACATGTTCTCTCAAGGCATAATTCGGATTCGATTATTGTTTCTGGATTCCTCACTCAGTGGACTGGAGAAAACTAAAGAAATTGTATGCATGTATAAAGTTACTTACTTACGCCAGTTTCCCCCGATGGAGCATAGGCCACCGGTCAGCATTCTCAAACCCACTCTGTCCTGGGCCTACCTTTCTAGTTCTATCCAATTTTTGTTCATTTTTATCATGTCTGTCTCCGTTTCTCGGAGTAATGTGTTCTTCGGTCTTCCTCTTTTCCTTTGGCCTTCAGGATCTCATATGAGACTTGCCTTGTGACGCAGTTGGGTAATTTCCTCCATGTGTGTCCTATCCACTTCCAGCGCTTCTTCCTCCTCTGGAATCTGGTTTGTTCTCTCCCACAGTAAGTTGTTGCCAATTGTGTCTAGCCAACGGATCCGAAGTATTTTGCGTAGACAACTGTTAATAAACACTTGTATCTTCTGGATGATAACTTTCGCAGTTCTCCAGGTTTCCACCTCATACAGTAGAACTGTCTTGACATTTGTATTGAAAATTCTGATCTTGATGTTGATTGACAATTGTTTTGAGTTCCAGATGTTCTTCATTTGTAGATATGCTGCTCTTGCTTTGCCTATCCGCGCTTTCACATCTGCATCAAATCCACCGTGTTCATCAATGATGTTGCCCAGATATGTAAAGGATTTTACATCCTCCAAAGCTTCTCCGTCAAGTGTGATTCGATTGGTGCATGTTGTGTTATACCGGAGAGTCTTGCTTTTCCCTTTGTGTATATTGAGAACTATTGCTGCCGCTACGCTGGTCGTCTTCTCCTGCATTTATTGTTGCGTGTGTGATAGAAGAGTCAGATAATCTGCGAAGTCTAGATCGTCCAGCTGCATCCTAGCTGTCCATTGTATCCCGTGCTCCCCCCGGATGTTGACGTCTTCATGATCCAGTCGATCACCAGGAGAAAGAGAAAGGGTGAGAGTAAGCATCCTTGCCTGACACCGGTCTTTACCTCGAACGAGTCTGTCAACTTTCATCCATGCACGACGTTGCAGTTTAATCCATATGATGATGATATTGACTATCTTCTCAGCCACTCCGTAGTGTCGAAGAGGCCTCCATAGTGTCCTCCCGTCCACGCTATCAAATGCTTTCTCGTAGTCGATAAAGTTGATGTAGAGTGATGAATTCCATTCATTTAATTGTTCCACGATTATCCGTTGTTGTGGTTTGGTCTGTACACGATCGATCCTTACGAGATCTAGCCTGTTGGGCGTCTACGGAGTCCTTCATTCTGTTTAACAATATCCTGGTTGAAGACGTTTCCTGGTATTGAGAGAAGAGTGATGCCCCTGTAGTTATCACATCTGCTGAGATCGCCTTTCGTTGGTATTTTGATCAGAAGTCCTTTCCAGTCTGTTGGTACGTTTGTCGGTTCTGATGCTCCTCTTCACTTGCTTGTTTGCCTCAGTGTATTCAGCTTGTGCCTTGGCTTTCTATGTTCTTGTTCGGCAGATATTGATTGCTGTCTTCTTGTTTCTCATTTCTTCAATCTTATCCAGTGTATCAACAATGATCCATTCCTTGTGATGGTACTTCTTGTGACCCAGAACCTGACGACATGAAGTGATTGCCTCTTTTATCCCTTTCAAGTTGCTCTCCATTGAGTAGAACGTGAAAGGCCTGGAACCTATTGCTGAGGACTATCTTGAATTCGTTGAGTCTGTCAGTATCTCGAAGAAAAGTTGTAATAAACATTTGTGATGTTGTCCACCCCGTTTTCCAATGCTTCTTGAGTTTCAGTTTCATCTTGACGACCAGCAAGTGATGATCTGAGGCCGTATCAGCTCCTCTCTTGATTCTTACATCCTCCATCGTCCTTCTGAAATTTGTATTGATACAGATATGGTCGATTTGGTTCTGTGTAGTGTGATCCGGACGGACAGTAACCCTCAGGGGTGCCCCAGGCGGAGGTACAGGTATAAAATAGGATGCAACGCTTACGTTAAGAGGACTGAGTTCAAAAGTCTCAATAGTTATAACTGACTAGATTTACTGTAAGACGATTAAGTTACAAAATGAATAAACAAAGATGCTTGATTGGCTTATAAAGACTGCTTAGTAATGATTTTCTTTCCAACAACAATATCATATAAGCCAGTGTTAATCATTATCATAAGACAACAAACCATCCTAAAGACTAATAATCCCGATGAAATAATCTTTGCATTTCAGCGTGATGGAAGACTATATTGCACTGAACCTTGTTATAATACGCTATTTGGACCGAGAGGTGAGTTGTTGGTAGTTTGATGACCTTTCTTTTATCAAAACAATCTGTGTAAGAATCTGGATTTTTCGAAAGATAAACCAGTAGAAAATGAATTTCGAAAAACTAATACCACAGTAGCTTTAAATTTGACTTTAATTACTGGTGTATCAGAATAATGATATATTTCAGAGCGCGCCAAAAATATTCTGATGAATTAATACCAATAACTATGATTGTAAGTGCTAATTAGGCTTGTTCCTGTGTCTGTCAGCACACTAAAAAAGCGGTACTAGTGTAATAAAGCACTTGCTAGAATAACAAGTGAAAACTCATTTGATACGATTGCGTTGTAAAAAAAAAATGACTAAAATTTATGAGTCGGTGGGTAATTAAACCACAACATAACCATAACAACATAACCAACATTCAACTACACATCAATAGCTTTACTAAACAAATGAATGACTTTGAATCCACATACCAACCGTGCACTAATTTATGAAAACGAAATAGACGAAATGAACAATATTGCTTTTATAAAAAATGGTTAATTATAATTTTATTTATCAATAATGATGACTGGTCGTGAAATTCATTTATAATTGTGACCAGATTGTAAATACAATGAGTTTCTGTACACTTTCATTTGTAATTTCATTCCAGGATATGGTGCAGTTCCAGACATTGATGACTTTTACGCATAAGTGTAACATCTCGAAAACGTATGATCACTTTTCATTATTAACACTGTTTCCAAGACACATGAAATAGATTTATTTAATTACTATTTATCTCTTTCATTTTAATACCGTATACTTTGTAATAAAATCGCTTAACATAAGATGTGTCTTTTTCTTTCTATACCACAACGATCCAGTGTTAAATGTTGGTGAAAATACAGCAAGTTAGGAGTCATAGATCAGATCTCTAAACCAGTCATCACCATCATATCGGTGAAAATGAACATAGAGATATGATGAACAAACACACATCTAACTGCTATTTTATACAAGTTTCACCTATACTTCAAACACATAAAACGTAACCGATCTTCACGTCTACACAGATCAGTAATAAATCAATCACTATTAGGCGATAAGGAAAGGATGTTTGAAAGGTCTATATACTTTGTAGCAATCGGCCTTGGGTAAATTAATTCAACCTTCTTTTGACACACATCTACTAACGGAATTCTTACACGAGTTGATAAAGAGTTTGGTGCAAGTGGAGTTCATTTTTCACAGCAGAAAAACTACCATTCAAGACTGAATACAGTGTGATAATCACTGACTCCTCACTCTAGAAATTTCAAAGCTCAACCGTACTCAAGTATGTATATATTTTTACCTGACTTCCCGGTGAACACATAATCTGTGAACAAATACAGAGAATTTCGTCTCATTGTTTTACATGATGTATAAACATCTCCATAACTTTACGGGCAAATTTTTGTCAAGAGTAGATTCCGGTATGGAGTGACACATCTTTTGGTAGATGTGTCTCATGCAACGAGGTTGTAGTCAAGTAAATTTGGTAAAATAAAATGATTTCATAATACTTTGGTGTTTTTTAATGAGTCATGTTGAGAGGTGCTAAAGGTTATCTTTAGTAGACCATGATGCACTTTGGTCTACTGAATAACGATTATCGTTGATAACTAGTTTTCACAGAAATTATCAGTAGAGATTTGGAGAAACATTACACAAATGTATTAACCATCACTGAATACCTGTCACTGTATTTGTTCAAGTCATTGAGTGTTCTTCTACCTGTTGTTTCTACTCTTCTAAATCACTGACTGCAAAGTGTACCGAAAATATTATGATGAATGAATAATACTAACTACCAATAAACAATGGAATTGAATTTGTAAAAATCTTAGCGATGGAAATTAAAGTAAACTCAATTGTCCGATTGGTAGTCTGGTTCACGCTCCTTCAAAGGAAATAAAGCTTGGATCAGACTGCCGAGCATAACGTGGGATTTCTTTTAATTCCAGTCACTGAGATTTTTATGAATACAACTCCCTTCTTTAGGGTCTTCCGTTAATTCAGCACCTAACTAACGTGAAACTGTTCTTTCAAATTTAGACGAAAGTTCCCATAGGAGTAACTACCATAATTGAACATCACTTACAGTTGATAATTAGTCCGATTGAATCTCAAAGAAAATGCGTAACGCGACGACTCAATTTTCAGAAATCTAAACGTTCACAATGGTCAAGTGAAACAGTAGATTGAAGTACGACATACACCTAAGATAGTTCATTGCCAAAACCAATAGTGAGTTCAAGAAATAATAATAATAATCTGTCAAACTTCACCAACTCTTTCCTTCTAAAACCAGATACAATGAGCATCTTACATTGCTACAATTTTCCTTTTACAAACAAACCCACTGGAATCCACACAAATAAGTAAGACATATGAGTCCAAGAGTTGATACGGCGACCTCCTTTACCGTGAACTTTTGCTAAATTTAAGCTTACACTAACGTTTTTCATTCTCATTCTTGTACGTACAGAATATATCTCAATAACTAACCTAATCAACGATACTCAGAACCCACCTTTTTATTACATGTAAGGGTAAAAGTTGATGTACACACACATACATATTGTTTATTGACATGTCACCATTTGACTGGCATTTTGAATTCAGAAGTAGCCTTCCATTCCCTATACTAATAGATTGTTCACTAATATTTCCAAACTAAAATAATTCAGAATCTGAAAAACATGAACATCGAGAACAGATGTTTCAGTTTGTCCTCTACATAAGTGCAGATTTATCAGATTCTGAAGAGAGAATACTTTAAATTTATGTTTAACGTCGTTTGTTTACTTTCAATACATTTTCAAAAAGTAGATAATTTCTTAATCCGCACACTCTCCATCGCACTTAAATCATATGTTATAATGTTTGGTTCTCAATCAAGATGTTCAGCTCACTTTCTCTACTAGTTGTTCGTGTAGTATACGGTATAAACAAGGATAGAGAAATATATTGGAGATAGATATCTAACACTACATATTCACTATGACTTGATCAATACACCCCTATCAATCAGATTCATTTCATTGGACTTCGACTGCTCAAGTGTGATTTTAATTGGTCGTTGGTAGCCTTGAAAATAGTGGTCAGAGAATCATGTGACAGGACGGTGAGATCGATACAATTGGATAAACAATAAAAACATGAGAAAAGTTACGTTGTGTAAGCTGTAAGTTGTGCTAACCTTTTGTCGGTCTAATTTCTCCCTCCTGTTTTTGTTTATCAGCCATGAAATGCCCTTCATGCAATAAGGAGGTCTACTTTGGTAGGTTTAATAGTATGCATTTATATTAAATAGCTGAGCGTGTCAATTCACTTGGAAAAGACTGGCATCGTCCGTGTTTGAAATGCGAAAAGTGCAAAAAAAACGCTGACTGCGGGTTCCCACTGTGAAGTAAGTGACTTTGTTTACCGTACTGTTTCCATGATTAAGTTGGCTTAAAATCATTATAATATTGTTCAGACGGGAGATACGTCTGAGAGTACCCGTCACTTTATACTGCCTAATTTTGCGTCCCATTAGATAACTATCTTTGGTGTCGGCATGGTTACTTCAACTTACCTTATTTTCACTTCGTATTTGATTCAGCTTCGCTTTGCATCGAATCACCCTTGACCTAACACAACATTAGCATGACTACTTGTTTGTATTTGGCAAATATTGGGTCTAATTTATTTCCTGTGCTTTTATTTAAACTGACTTGCTAGTCATTTATTCTCTGGAAAAAGTGACTTTCACTAAGTCGCAAGGTGTCACAAATCCGATTTTCTACTCATTGGATTATTTTATTACGAATGTGGTATTATTGTAAGCAATCTACTGAAAGGTCATCTATTTGAAATTGTCGAGTCAAAGCTTCCTAGTAATACTTGAAAGATAACTGACTGAATTCACTTTTTTCTTCCTCATCCACTTTATACTGATTTGAAGGGGTCTTTACAGCGAGACATACAAATAATAGAATGATAAGAAAGTACGACACAACCGCGTAAGTCATATTAACGCCCAGGGGCGGTCTGTGAAACTCGTGAATATTATCCTCATTGATTAGGTTCTCCTAATGGGTTCTGTGTGAGGTTCTTTGTCGCGTTCTTTAGTAGTGTTAGTTTTGGTCATTACATCCACCGAAACGGTAGTGTCAACTAGTCTTTTTGAATTAGTAAACGGTGTATCAATGTGATAGCTTTGGTCTCATACTGCTGGTTTGAAGCCGATGAAATATCACTATCCATGTGGCATTTTACTACATGTCACCTCATTCTTTTTAACAGAAAGTGTTTGCCAATGAATTTTCTCAGTGTTTTGTTTCGTGGGACACACTTAATGAGAATTGAAATGTTAAGTATGCCATTTGGATGTTGTGGTTGTGTGTAAGAAATATAAGGGCTTTATTATGGAATTGGTGTAAACTGAGGACATTATAGAGTGACATTTTGCGACTGCTAATCAATATGATATTTATTTATATTTCAGCATGATGGTAAACCCTATTGTCAGATTCCATGTTACCAAGCACTGTTTGGACCCAAAGGTGAGTGATCATCAAGTAATCAATTCCGCCCGTTAATAAGTTGATTTGAAAGCTTGACAGGTGCTAGAATGTGTAGCATTCAATTTGGTTGCAAATATGTTAAGTACGAATTTTCACTTGCAGTATTAAGTTGTGTATCACTGAAACATTGGGAATGAGGTGTAGGCTAATGAATAGTGTGTTGTTATGTCCTTGATCTATCTACCCAGAACATACAGGAGAGGAATTTCCTCGATCTATGTTAATGCCTTGATACGGTGGGCCAACTGGTTCAACGTCGAGGCTAGAATTGCGTGAGTTCGAATTGAGATATATGAATAAATATATGACTAACACAATCACAACACACAAACAATTAGAAAAATAAAATTATATCCAAACTAAGCATTAGGGGGGGAAGAGGAGTGCAAAATGTTGCGTTTAAATTACAATAGCTTTGGAATAGAAAAAGGTACGGCAGTGAATTATGCATCAAACGGAAACTTATGCTTTATAAAATAACCTAGGAATTAAACTAAATGTTAGTATTTTACAAACTTAGAATTAAGCTTAATAATGTCCCCAAGACTAGTCCCCTTTGTTCGTCATAGCTTCTTTATTTCTCTATTCACAGCATGTATAGTGTGATTAAATTGTGTGTTATTGAAAAGTTATAGTATTGTATGTGCTCTTAAAAACAACTATCATCCTGGGAATTAGATGTAAAGTAGATTAGGCGCTTTAAGACAACAATAACAAGATAAACTATAGACAGGTCCCCAATATTGCAAGATAGTAGATATGAGGGCTATGTATACTGCCTTCAACTTGCAAAGGTATGTTTTCAAGTAGAGTGAAATATCAATCCTGACTTTGCCCATTTTAGAAAGGATTTGTGTGGGTGAAAGTCACTGTCAAAAATTATTCATCTACTATATTTGCTTAAATGTTCTATATAGATTATTGGCACATTTTGTTTTCAGGTTATGGGTCAGTGGCCAGCAGTCACGTCTACAAATAGACAACAAATTTGTCATTTCAAGTTTTGTTTATACATTCTACATGACTACTTTTGATGTCTCTTGTGAGACAATTCCAATAGAACGCTCCTTCAAGTACTTTTCAATTACTTGGTTTTGATGTTTTAACTTATGAAATAAACTCGCTGCTTCAAATTTGTGTTTTACTTTTCACTCTCAGTTGTAAGTTCGTAAGTGACGGTGGAAGTTGTTAGTTCGTCTTCATCTTTGCATTCAAGGCAGATTGTTATTATTATTATTTGAACACAGACGATTTGCACAAGGGGGCACCAAATACATATGCGCCACATGGAGAGGAAACAAATTTCAAGACGGAAAGAACTGCTTTCATTCCTCGATTTTCTTTTCCTAGTTTATACAATTGTATTCTTGTCGTTATGCCCAATAACTGGAGTTTTGGGGTGGAGCAAACACTACTGTATGCGGGATAAATCAACAAACTAATTAGAAAATGTAGGTTTGAGGTCAAAAACGAGGGGAACCGGTGGACGAGCAAATGGTCAGCGAGCAGCTAATAAGTGGCGCCCTAGTAATTATATTTTAGTCTGACTGCGCTTCCTTGTTGCATGTTACTTCCACTGATTGATATAGACTCAGAGGTCACCAACCACTTCGAAAATATATACAACCAGTTCTCCCTATCAATTCATCGGCAAACAGATAGCTGAACCACAGAGGGAAAGTTTGTAAGTGTTCCCTGCATGATACATCCTAAATTATTAGTTGCGTTAATAGTATGTATCCGCTGTCAGTTTATAGGTGTCTGATTCAACAAATGACGCGCTAAGTGTGGTGCATTCTTTATTTTGGTATTTCTGATTCAACTGGGAATCAATGGGCCCATAGAATGAATTGGTTCTGTAGTATAATCTGACTTCAGCTCCAGGCATACTGGTGAAGTAATAAATGCACAGAGATACTTGGAATGCATTTAATGTGTAAGTAAGTTTCGATCACAACCGTTGAACTATGAGTGAAGAAAATACTAAACAAGAATTTATAATTCATAGTACATCATAGGTTTCACTTCCTGACTCACTTTGTTGAAGTGAGACATGTTAAATCTAACAAAAGTAGGATCAAAACCTCCTCCCAAAAATGTAGGTAAATTGCATGAAATATCCCATTTACCAATTTGAAGGGACAATTCCTCTGACTATTGAGAGATGTCTTACGTATTCAACGTTTCTTTTTCTAAGTATGTACTGGCGGTTATCAGCAAAACTGCTGAAGTCCTCCATTCGCTTACAAAACGGAAGTTTCAAAATGTATAATTTGGTGAAAAAATCGTGAGCAGGTTCTGCATTCTTGTCAAACATTTCTAACACAAACGGAATTTAATGTCTGAGATGCGTTCAATCTAATATACGGGTTAGAATTTCGATCCACAAGAAAACGAAATGAGTCAGTTAATTAGTGTACAACTATGGAAAGAAGACACAACTTCGTTGTGACAAATAGTTTTAGCAAAATGCTGCTGTTCGTCTCTGGCCAATAGACATCTTAATATACACCGTTGCAGTCTCGTCAATTTCGCACTAATTCTTCATCTGATCCTTCATCCATATCGAATATTATTATTTAAACAAAAAATTCAAAATCCCTGATTACATTTTAGTTACTCCTTTCTGAATATATATATGTGCTTACGCCTGTTGCACCCAATGGACCATAGGCCACCGGTCAGCATTCTCAAACCCACTCTGTCCTGGGCCTACCTTTCTAGTTCTATCCAATTTTTGTTCATTTTTATCATGTCTGTCTCCGTTTCTCGGAGTAATGTGTTCTTCGGTCTTCCTCTTTTCCTTTGGCCTTCAGGATCTCATATGAGACTTGCCTTGTGACGCAGTTGGGTAATTTCCTCCATGTGTGTCCTATCCACTTCCAGCGCTTCTTCCTCCTCTGGAATCTGGTTTGTTCTCTCCCACAGTAAGTTGTTGCCAATTGTGTCTAGCCAACGGATCCGAAGTATTTTGCGTAGACAACTGTTAATAAACACTTGTATCTTCTGGATGATAACTTTCGCAGTTCTCCAGGTTTCCACCTCATACAGTAGAACTGTCTTGACATTTGTATTGAAAATTCTGATCTTGATGTTGATTGACAATTGTTTTGAGTTCCAGATGTTCTTCATTTGTAGATATGCTGCTCTTGCTTTGCCTATCCGCGCTTTCACATCTGCATCAAATCCACCGTGTTCATCAATGATGTTGCCCAGATATGTAAAGGATTTTACATCCTCCAAAGCTTCTCCGTCAAGTGTGATTCGATTGGTGCATGTTGTGTTATACCGGAGAGTCTTGCTTTTCCCTTTGTGTATATTGAGAACTATTGCTGCTGCTACGCTGGTCGTCTTCTCCTGCATTTATTGTTGCGTGTGTGATAGAAGAGTCAGATAATCTGCGAAGTCTAGATCGTCCAGCTGCATCCTAGCTGTCCATTGTATCCCGTGCTCCCCCCGGATGTTGACGTCTTCATGATCCAGTCGATCACCAGGAGAAAGAGAAAGGGTGAGAGTAAGCATCCTTGCCTGACACCGATCTTTACCTCGAACGAGTCTGTCAACTTTCATCCATGCACGACGTTGCAGTTTAATCCATATGATGATGATATTGACTATCTTCTCAGCCACTCCGTAGTGTCGAAGAGGCCTCCATAGTGTCCTCCCGTCCACGCTATCAAATGCTTTCTCGTAGTCGATAAAGTTGATGTAGAGTGATGAATTCCATTCATTTAATTGTTCCACGATTTTAAAACAATTAGTCCCTTTGATAAATTTCGATAATGCAATGAGAAGACGAAGTTTATCAGAATTATGTGATATATTAGCGCAATACATTTCGAACAATCTGATCACACATATACTTGTTAAGACATTTTTTATATGAAAATTAAAAGGTCAACTAGACAGGTTAAGGTAAGAAAATAAATAAAGTACACAAAAACAATGTGATGACTACTCTGGATAATAAATAAGCATTACCAGGGTAGGTTAAGAGTAAGAACAAATTGTTTTTGAACACATAAAGAGGTTTCAATTTCTGTATAGCCAAGGCTTCAATAAACCTTAGTATACGTCCTTGAAGGCTTTTGTACAACACTACAAATGCTGATTTGATGTCAACCTTATGACCAGTTTCAACTAAATGTTTCGCAATAGAGGAAGATGTTTGTCTGTCCTGTGATCTTATTTGACTACTCGAATTCATTTGGTTCTGTAGCCATTTAGGTATGTGTTCCACCACCCTTATTTGCAAATCACGATTGCTCCTCCCTATGTACGTGTTTCCGCCACCAGTATGCCTGGAGCTGAAGTCAGATTATACCACAGAACCAATTCATTCTATGGGCCCATTGATTCCCAGTTGAATCAGAAATACCAAAATAAAGAATGCACCACACTTAGCGCGTCATTTGTTGAATCAGACACCTATAAACTGACAGCGGATACATACTATTAACGCAACTAATAATTTAGGATGTATCATGCAGGGAACACTTACAAACTTTCCCTCTGTGGTTCAGCTATCTGTTTGCCGATGAATTGATAGGGAGAACTGGTTGTATATATTTTCGAAGTGGTTGGTGACCTCTGAGTCTATATCAATCAGTGGAAGTAACATGCAACAAGGAAGCGCAGTCAGACTAAAATATAATTACTAGGGCGCCACTTATTAGCTGCTCGCTGACCATTTGCTCGTCCACCGGTTCCCCTCGTTTTTGACCTCAAACCTACATTTTCTAATTAGTTTGTTGATTTATCCCGCATACAGTAGTGTTTGCTCCACCCCAAAACTCCAGTTATTGGGCATAACGACAAGAATACAATTGTATAAACTAGGAAAAGAAAATCGAGGAATGAAAGCAGTTCTTTCCGTCTTGAAATTTGTTTCCTCTCCATGTGGCGCATATGTATTTGGTGCCCCCTTGTGCAAATCGTCTGTGTTCAAATAATAATAATAACAATCTGCCTTGAATGCAAAGATGAAGACGAACTAACAACTTCCACCGTCACTTACGAACTTACAACTGAGAGTGAAAAGTAAAACACAAATTTGAAGCAGCGAGTTTATTTCATAAGTTAAAACATCAAAACCAAGTAATTGAAAAGTACTTGAAGGAGCGTTCTATTGGAATTGTCTCACAAGAGACATCAAAAGTAGTCATGTAGAATGTATAAACAAAACTTGAAATGACAAATTTGTTGTCTATTTGTAGACGTGACTGCTGGCCACTGACCCATAACCTGAAAACAAAATGTGCCAATAATCTATATAGAACATTTAAGCAAATATAGTAGATGAATAATTTTTGACAGTGACTTTCACCCACACAAATCCTTTCTAAAATGGGCAAAGTCAGGATTGATATTTCACTCTACTTGAAAACATACCTTTGCAAGTTGAAGGCAGTATACATAGCCCTCATATCTACTATCTTGCAATATTGGGGACCTGTCTATAGTTTATCTTGTTATTGTTGTCTTAAAGCGCCTAATCTACTTTACATCTAATTCCCAGGATGATAGTTGTTTTTAAGAGCACATACAATACTATAACTTTTCAATAACACACAATTTAATCACACTATACATGCTGTGAATAGAGAAATAAAGAAGCTATGACGAACAAAGGGGACTAGTCTTGGGGACATTATTAAGCTTAATTCTAAGTTTGTAAAATACTAACATTTAGTTTAATTCCTAGGTTATTTTATAAAGCATAAGTTTCCGTTTGATGCATAATTCACTGCCGTACCTTTTTCTATTCCAAAGCTATTGTAATTTAAACGCAACATTTTGCACTCCTCTTCCCCCCCTAATGCTTAGTTTGGATATAATTTTATTTTTCTAATTGTTTGTGTGTTGTGATTGTGTTAGTCATATATTTATTCATATATCTCAATTCGAACTCACGCAATTCTAGCCTCGACGTTGAACCAGTTGGCCCACCGTATCAAGGCATTAACATAGATCGAGGAAATTCCTCTCCTGTATGTTCTGGGTAGATAGATCAAGGACATAACAACACACTATTCATTAGCCTACACCTCATTCCCAATGTTTCAGTGATACACAACTTAATACTGCAAGTGAAAATTCGTACTTAACATATTTGCAACCAAATTGAATGCTACACATTCTAGCACCTGTCAAGCTTTCAAATCAACTTATTAACGGGCGGAATTGATTACTTGATGATCACTCACCTTTGGGTCCAAACAGTGCTTGGTAACATGGAATCTGACAATAGGGTTTACCATCATGCTGAAATATAAATAAATATCATATTGATTAGCAGTCGCAAAATGTCACTCTATAATGTCCTCAGTTTACACCAATTCCATAATAAAGCCCTTATATTTCTTACACACAACCACAACATCCAAATGGCATACTTAACATTTCAATTCTCATTAAGTGTGTCCCACGAAACAAAACACTGAGAAAATTCATTGGCAAACACTTTCTGTTAAAAAGAATGAGGTGACATGTAGTAAAATGCCACATGGATAGTGATATTTCATCGGCTTCAAACCAGCAGTATGAGACCAAAGCTATCACATTGATACACCGTTTACTAATTCAAAAAGACTAGTTGACACTACCGTTTCGGTGGATGTAATGACCAAAACTAACACTACTAAAGAACGCGACAAAGAACCTCACACAGAACCCATTAGGAGAACCTAATCAATGAGGATAATATTCACGAGTTTCACAGACCGCCCCTGGGCGTTAATATGACTTACGCGGTTGTGTCGTACTTTCTTATCATTCTATTATTTGTATGTCTCGCTGTAAAGACCCCTTCAAATCAGTATAAAGTGGATGAGGAAGAAAAAAGTGAATTCAGTCAGTTATCTTTCAAGTATTACTAGGAAGCTTTGACTCGACAATTTCAAATAGATGACCTTTCAGTAGATTGCTTACAATAATACCACATTCGTAATAAAATAATCCAATGAGTAGAAAATCGGATTTGTGACACCTTGCGACTTAGTGAAAGTCACTTTTTCCAGAGAATAAATGACTAGCAAGTCAGTTTAAATAAAAGCACAGGAAATAAATTAGACCCAATATTTGCCAAATACAAACAAGTAGTCATGCTAATGTTGTGTTAGGTCAAGGGTGATTCGATGCAAAGCGAAGCTGAATCAAATACGAAGTGAAAATAAGGTAAGTTGAAGTAACCATGCCGACAACAAAGATAGTTATCTAATGGGACGCAAAATTAGGCAGTATAAAGTGACGGGTACTCTCAGACGTATCTCCCGTCTGAACAATATTATAATGATTTTAAGCCAACTTAATCATGGAAACAGTACGGTAAACAAAGTCACTTACTTCACAGTGGGAACCCGCAGTCAGCGTTTTTTTGCACTTTTCGCATTTCAAACACGGACGATGCCAGTCTTTTCCAAGTGAATTGACACGCTCAGCTATTTAATATAAATGCATACTATTAAACCTACCAAAGTAGACCTCCTTATTGCATGAAGGGCATTTCATGGCTGATAAACAAAAACAGGAGGGAGAAATTAGACCGACAAAAGGTTAGCACAACTTACAGCTTACACAACGTAACTTTTCTCATGTTTTTATTGTTTATCCAATTGTATCGATCTCACCGTCCTGTCACATGATTCTCTGACCACTATTTTCAAGGCTACCAACGACCAATTAAAATCACACTTGAGCAGTCGAAGTCCAATGAAATGAATCTGATTGATAGGGGTGTATTGATCAAGTCATAGTGAATATGTAGTGTTAGATATCTATCTCCAATATATTTCTCTATCCTTGTTTATACCGTATACTACACGAACAACTAGTAGAGAAAGTGAGCTGAACATCTTGATTGAGAACCAAACATTATAACATATGATTTAAGTGCGATGGGAGAGTGTGCGGATTAAGAAATTATCTACTTTTTGAAAATGTATTGAAAGTAAACAAACGACGTTAAACATAAATTTAAAGTATTCTCTCTTCAGAATCTGATAAATCTGCACTTATGTAGAGGACAAACTGAAACATCTGTTCTCGATGTTCATGTTTTTCAGATTCTGAATTATTTTAGTTTGGAAATATTAGTGAACAATCTATTAGTATAGGGAATGGAAGGCTACTTCTGAATTCAAAATGCCAGTCAAATGGTGACATGTCAATAAACAATATGTATGTGTGTGTACATCAACTTTTACCCTTACATGTAATAAAAAGGTGGGTTCTGAGTATCGTTGATTAGGTTAGTTATTGAGATATATTCTGTACGTACAAGAATGAGAATGAAAAACGTTAGTGTAAGCTTAAATTTAGCAAAAGTTCACGGTAAAGGAGGTCGCCGTATCAACTCTTGGACTCATATGTCTTACTTATTTGTGTGGATTCCAGTGGGTTTGTTTGTAAAAGGAAAATTGTAGCAATGTAAGATGCTCATTGTATCTGGTTTTAGAAGGAAAGAGTTGGTGAAGTTTGACAGATTATTATTATTATTTCTTGAACTCACTATTGGTTTTGGCAATGAACTATCTTAGGTGTATGTCGTACTTCAATCTACTGTTTCACTTGACCATTGTGAACGTTTAGATTTCTGAAAATTGAGTCGTCGCGTTACGCATTTTCTTTGAGATTCAATCGGACTAATTATCAACTGTAAGTGATGTTCAATTATGGTAGTTACTCCTATGGGAACTTTCGTCTAAATTTGAAAGAACAGTTTCACGTTAGTTAGGTGCTGAATTAACGGAAGACCCTAAAGAAGGGAGTTGTATTCATAAAAATCTCAGTGACTGGAATTAAAAGAAATCCCACGTTATGCTCGGCAGTCTGATCCAAGCTTTATTTCCTTTGAAGGAGCGTGAACCAGACTACCAATCGGACAATTGAGTTTACTTTAATTTCCATCGCTAAGATTTTTACAAATTCAATTCCATTGTTTATTGGTAGTTAGTATTATTCATTCATTATAATATTTTCGGTACACTTTGCAGTCAGTGATTTAGAAGAGTAGAAACAACAGGTAGAAGAACACTCAATGACTTGAACAAATACAGTGACAGGTATTCAGTGATGGTTAATACATTTGTGTAATGTTTCTCCAAATCTCTACTGATAATTTCTGTGAAAACTAGTTATCAACGATAATCGTTATTCAGTAGACCAAAGTGCATCATGGTCTACTAAAGATAACCTTTAGCACCTCTCAACATGACTCATTAAAAAACACCAAAGTATTATGAAATCATTTTATTTTACCAAATTTACTTGACTACAACCTCGTTGCATGAGACACATCTACCAAAAGATGTGTCACTCCATACCGGAATCTACTCTTGACAAAAATTTGCCCGTAAAGTTATGGAGATGTTTATACATCATGTAAAACAATGAGACGAAATTCTCTGTATTTGTTCACAGATTATGTGTTCACCGGGAAGTCAGGTAAAAATATATACATACTTGAGTACGGTTGAGCTTTGAAATTTCTAGAGTGAGGAGTCAGTGATTATCACACTGTATTCAGTCTTGAATGGTAGTTTTTCTGCTGTGAAAAATGAACTCCACTTGCACCAAACTCTTTATCAACTCGTGTAAGAATTCCGTTAGTAGATGTGTGTCAAAAGAAGGTTGAATTAATTTACCCAAGGCCGATTGCTACAAAGTATATAGACCTTTCAAACATCCTTTCCTTATCGCCTAATAGTGATTGATTTATTACTGATCTGTGTAGACGTGAAGATCGGTTACGTTTTATGTGTTTGAAGTATAGGTGAAACTTGTATAAAATAGCAGTTAGATGTGTGTTTGTTCATCATATCTCTATGTTCATTTTCACCGATATGATGGTGATGACTGGTTTAGAGATCTGATCTATGACTCCTAACTTGCTGTATTTTCACCAACATTTAACACTGGATCGTTGTGGTATAGAAAGAAAAAGACACATCTTATGTTAAGCGATTTTATTACAAAGTATACGGTATTAAAATGAAAGAGATAAATAGTAATTAAATAAATCTATTTTATGTGTCTTGGAAACAGTGTCAATATTGACAATGGATCGTAATTGTCATAATTATTAGTCCTTTCTTCAGTAATTTTCACTGTTTGGAACTGCACCATATCCTGGAATTAAATTACAAATAAAGGTTAACAGATATTAATTGTTTTATATTCCTGTACTTGAAGTAAGAAACTGAGCTCAGGTTTCCGTTTTCTCATTATTAGGTACATCTATGTTCATTTCCAAAATGAAACACAGAAACCAATATATCTGATGCAATACTGTAATGATTTGATCAGTTATAGTTCATGCAAATTGGCATTTTTTATACATTAATAATGTAATAGGGCAGCTATTTCTGTTCGCCATTTTAATTGTCGAAACATTCGATATCTTACCAGACGTTTATCCAGTGCTGTTCAATCAAGTTAATTCACATATTTTGCAAGATTTCGTATACACTAATCACGTCTATCGAATTTTGTTTTATAGATCATCAAGTAATAAAAACAGTTAGACGAACTTACGAATAAGTAAGCGGTGAAGTATGTCAAAGCGTTGAGTTATTTATGGTTTCAATAATTTTTTTAAATGAACGTATATCCTTATATGCCGCTGTGCATTAAGAAATACACTAAAATGTATAATAACACACTACATCTCCATTCCAATATATTTTCCCTGACTGATGTCATATCAAATTACAAAAAAGTTTAAAGGCTGGAGCAACAATTTACCGACTGGTATTGTTCTGGTGTATCAGCATTCATGTTGTTAACGAAATCCTACGTTGTATAAACAGATCAAGTAGTGCCTTCAGTAGGGCAATAATTTTAGATTTTTCTTCAGATCTTTTCTATATTGTTTTAGTAGAAAGTCATTTATTAATTATAGATATTTATGCACGGGTTCGATTAACATGTCAGAACTATTGATATATCGGCTGCCAAAGCTGAAATAGGTAGGGTGAGGTTCAAATCTACAACGAATAGGTCGATAAACGAGTTTACAGCCATTTAATCATTTCTACCTAGATTTTTTTGATAATTATCAAATAATAAACATTGGCTTGACTAGAAAACAAAGACTATCAAACTACTAACCACTCACCTCTTGGTCCATACAGAGTCATGTAACAAGGTTTATAACAATAAATTCGGCCGTTACGCTGAAATGTAAAGATAATTACATTAAGAAGAACATTGTGTAGTGTGGTATGTTATCGTATGATCCTGGTTAATATTAGTTTCGGTTATGCTGCTAGTGCGATGTGACTAGATATGAATTGTGATAAATATTGTTAAACTGATGTTATGATATGAATAAAGAAACAGGGACAAACAACGAAAGGGATTTCTTGGAACACTTTCACGTAATTCGAAATCTGTACAATATCAACATTTGGTTTTGTACTTGCTTTATTCGGGAATTTTTAAGTTTTCTTATAACATATAAATGGCTGTATCTTACTTTCCAAAATTAGAGTAATTTAAGCATAATTCTTGTATTCCTCTGATTCTACTCTAGTGTCCTCGTTTAGATGTGATTGTATTTTTCTAATTCCATGTGTGTTGAGGTCTCGTTAGATATACATTTATGCATTTTTCTTACGATAGTTGGATCGATAATAAATCGAGTAAATGTTCCAGCTAATTCGTTTACTCTCTTCGCTTGATAATTATTCAGGTCAGAGGTCAGTAGTGGGATAGTTTCTCCTCTCTGCTCTGAAGGCCGTTCAGTCACAAACTGAGCTCACACGTTACAAGTCTCAATGTCTTACTATGTAACCTGTCACTTCAAAGCCATAAACTACATCGGGGTAACTATCTTCTTAGATGTTAAGCAAAGACTAGTGGGGAGACAAATCAAAGTGTTAACATAGATCTGTGTTCATTCTCTCGATATGATTATCAAATCCAGCATAATGGGGGCTTCGCGCTATTTCGAAGTGACACTATGTGATAAAAATCCAGTGTGCTGTGGAATTTTTCCGGGAGTTGATTAAATACTATATGAACTATCAGGCTTTCTGATAAAAGTATTTTCAGTAGAAAAATCAAACATTTTGAGGTAAAAATTAATTTACAGTTATATTTTAAAGATGAAGATTTTCATGAAACAAGGTGTGAAGTAATTTGTGAATAATAGAGTCTCACGTACATTGCCATTACATTTCACATAGTGTAACCTTTTGACTGCAAGATACAAATATAAAGCAGATTCAATGAATAACTCAGAGAAGCTACTGGTTGTCATGGTGTTTGAGGAAAATGTGACAATGAGATTGTAATTTATCATGTTATACAGTAAAAGTCGAATTACAGATAGTACCTGTTAGAATCTCCTATTTTTTTGATTCTGTATCAAGGTGAATGTATCGTCACTTACGTTGTTCATAGCACAGAATTATACATTGAGGTACGTTCAACTATGTGTAGATGCAACAATAATTTTATTGAGGAAAAGATATCTTAGTGAACCGTGATAAAATTAGTGTAAAATGGTGAAAATGAACAAGCAAAAGAATGATAAAATTTGATGTTTCCTAAGCAAATTTGCGAGTTCTATGAAATATAATTTTCTCTATGTATATTCATGGCATAGTAATAAAACTGTAGGGTTACATGAGTTAATGTAAACATATCTGTCCAATTATCTTTTATTCACAATGTTACTAACAAGCAATACATTTACCTTGCAATGATAACCTGGAGTAATTGGTCTGCAACATCTTTCACACTTTAAACAGCTGCGGTGCCAGTCCTTACCCAGTGCTTCAATGCGTTCAGCTGTTCAGTAAAAAGCCACTATACAATACTCACCGAAGTAAACTTCTTTGTTACACACTGGACACTTCATTATTAAAACACAGTAAACTGATAATCCAGATGCGATGCAAAATAGACTCTAAAATAGTATTGACTTGGTTCAGTCTTTTACATTTATGTTGATTTATGACTAAAGGTTTTATTGTTTTTTTCCACGTAAGTTCGTCAGACTATTCGATCATATGATGATATACCTGTTGTTATTCAAGTAACTAACTACCAATAGACAGCACGCATTCAAAATTTTGTAATCAAATAATGTGAAGCTATCAAGGTAGGTTGAGATAAGTAAACTTAAAACAGGGTGGTTTGTGATGGGGTAGAGCTTTTTAAAGATTAGATTTACGAGTAGAAAATAATTTATAGACGATTTGGTTGTCATTTGAGTAAGCGAATTTATATTCCATTAATCATTGGTGTTTAACAAATGAATTTGAATAAAGATCAATAATATCTTGATTAGGGAAAGCAGTCTCCAGAGTTGAATTGCATGTAACAAAATAACCTGTCGTTTATGGATAACAAAAGACAATGAAACGATCACAATGAGTGAAAAATCTGATTGGAAATAAAGTCAAAGGGAACGTATTTACTAGGTGTTATTACTTTTCAGTGCTAAATCAGTTGAAACCAATTGACTGAAAACTAAATCTTTCAACAATTCAAAATTATCAGTCTGTCAGCTGAGACATTACTGGTTGAATATCAATCATCGAATAACATCATCATCATCATCATCATCATCATCATCATCATCATCATCATCATCATCATCATCATCATCATCATCATCATCATCATCATCATCATCATCATCATCATCATCATCATCATCATCATCATCATCATCATCATCATCATCATCATCATCATCATCATCATCATCATCATCATCATCATCATCATCATCATCATCATCATCATCATCATCATCATCATCATCATCATCATCATCATCATCATCATCATCATCATCATCATCATCATCATCATCATCATCATCATCATCATCATCATCATCATCATCATCATCATCATCATCATCATCATCATCATCATCATCATCATCATCATCATCATCATCATCATCATCATCATCATCATCATCATCATCATCATCATCATCATCATCATCATCATCATCATCATCATCATCATCATCATCATCATCATCATCATCATCATCATCATCATCATCATCATCATCATCATCATCATCATCATCATCATCATCATCATCATCATCATCATCATCATCATCATCATCATCATCATCATCATCATCATCATCATCATCATCATCATCATCATCATCATCATCATCATCATCATCATCATCATCATCATCATCATCATCATCATCATCATCATCATCATCATCATCATCATCATCATCATCATCATCATCATCATCATCATCATCATCATCATCATCATCATCATCATCATCATCATCATCATCATCATCATCATCATCATCATCATCATCATCATCATCATCATCATCATCATCATCATCATCATCATCATCATCATCATCATCATCATCATCATCATCATCATCATCATCATCATCATCATCATCATCATCATCATCATCATCATCATCATCATCATCATCATCATCATCATCATCATCATCATCATCATCATCATCATCATTTACTTTGATGCTTTTTGTATATATTGTGATTTCTTTTGATTGATTTGCTCTAACCTTTTTAACGTAAATTGAAATAGTTTAATGGCAGTAAATATGGAATAAATTCTTTGTGCTTTGTTCATTTGGTATTGACTGATTATAAGTTTCTTTGAACATTAACTAGTGATTCAAACTCTTTGTTATTATTTGAACTCATCATTCTGACAACGCTAAGCTTTATATATAAAGATTAAATGTCATTCATATTGGACTAGATTGAAGTATTTTTGTTTTAATCATGGAAATATTCAATAGTACAATCAAGTTAAGTATAGTAAACCTAAATAACAGATTTCCTGATTATTCACATAATTTGCACACTTATTTATGTTCCAATATTAAAAATTGAATAAGAAACGAATCATTTGCACCACTGAAAAGTATCATAGTAAACCTAAGTTACATTATTGTTGGTTTGTAGTTGGCAATGAATATGTTAACTAACCTACATTAAAATTAATATATATTTATATTGAGTGGTTAGTCGGTTTTTTTCAATACACCACATACTATTTCCATTACTCTATAAAATCCACCATATGTGATGAATAATCGAGAAAAATGACTGATATATACCCTTCATTTAACCTTATTTCCTTGATGTAAAAACACGTATTGCTATCTTAATGTTAAACACCCTTGTTCACGTTTGATCACGTAAAAGAATGCTATGAAATGAAGTGCTCATTTAAATTGAAAAAAATGGTAATAAATTTGTTTTATGTGGTTAAACAACTGGAATATAACTAACGAAGGTTCTAAGTATGTCAAATTGATCTTCATTCTTCAGTTGAGAAATACTAGTAGAATTTCAGTAGTAATATCATTCATAAAGGTCTTTTAAAAGCACATATCAAACAATCATTTTGTTTTTACTAGCTTCTTAAATATTTCTCAGATTTAAAAAGAACCTTAACATCTACTGAATGTAGTAAGACGAGTAGGGTAATAATTAGAAACCTGCAAATTAACATTATACAGCTGAAAATGGACCTAAACAGTCGGATTTGTACTGGAAGAAACTTAAAACACTAAGCTATTTTATCTTAAACATTGCTTTTACTTATTTGTTCGTGAAAATTGTAATTGTTTTGTTGATTACTTTTTATTACTCTATATTCTACGCTTGATTGCTAGACAGCGCTGAATAATTTTCTCTGAATGTTTATTAATTTGTATGGTGTTTATTTCCTTAGCTTCAACGTCTATTATTACAGTTAACTAGAATATATGCTTGTAAACCACATGAATAGTTTCGCCTGTATAGAGCAGCCTTATATTTATTTTGTGAATATTATGTTTATCCTAACAAAGTGGTACCCCAAAAATCTATAGATAGTGGAAGGTTTCGTTAAAACACTTTAACCGAAATCTATGTGAAGTTGCTGAGCTGAAAAGCAAAATACATCTATATTATATTGAAATAATGAACAAAATTTGCAGCTCAGGTGGATGTTTTTAGTGTTGTTGAGTTCTTCAAGCTAGATGGTCTGATTGTGAAGCTTTCATTGTGGTCCTCGATAACATCATTAGGGATTAATTTGTCTAGAAGGGAGCTTCTTAGCTTTTCCATGAGTTTTATATCAGCTTGTCCTGGTGTCATTAATGTAATTGGTTATCTTTTTAAGTTTGATTATTTTCAGCTGTACTTGTAATAGAATTGACTGTTTTGTTCCGTTGAGCTTTGTCTAGGTTATTGCTTGGTCTTTCCCGAATGAGTCGGTAATCAGGTCTAAATCAATGTGTCTATTAATTGCTGACTATTCTGAAGGTCACGCTTCGCGAAATTCACTGCCTTTCTTGGAATTCCTGCGATCTAGAACTTCGACGTTCTCTCAGTGGAATAATTGTCTGTGGTTATCTACATCTACTAATATTAGTGGTACCACATCATTTCACTGGTAGTTTATGTTCCAGTATGCGTAGGTAGAAAGGGAATCCGCCTGGTCAAATATAGTGTTCGTCACGGTTGGTATAATTCATTCTGTAGATGATATTTTATTTGTCTTTTGATCTGAATAAAATAGAGTAGAGCGAATACGTTGGTTTATAAGCGACATTTATTCATGAACGTTTTATGACCCTCATGCTGATTATTGAGATCTCTTTAACACATGGCGATATCATCATTTTCATAGTTCCTGATGCTTATTTATGATGGTTTATTAATTTATTGGTAAACAGAAAAAGCAGGAGTACTAGAAAGACAAGTAGAAAGGAAGCAAGCCATGCTGATAAAACACTGATGTAGTCGAACGCGTCGACAACTTCACTTATCTTGGAAGTCTGAGCAGCTCTAATGAGTTGGTGTCTGACAAAATCTCAGCACGGATTCAAAAAGCTCGTTTGGCTTATAACAACTTACGTCACCTATGGCGAAGACGAGATATCCGTCTATCAATTAAGGGACGAGTATACTGCGCAGCAGTCCGTTCTGTTTTACTTTACGGCAGTGAAACATGGCCATTAAGAGTAGAAGATACTCGTAAGTTTCTAGTTTTTGACCACAGATGCCTTAGAGATATTGCTCGCATCTGCTGGGATCACCGGGTAAATAATGGTGAGGTTAGATACAGGGTATTAGGAAACGATGGTAAATCAGTTGATGAGGTCATGAATTTTCATCAACTGAGATGATTGGGCTACGTGTTACGTATGCCTGAACACCGATTACCACGATGCGCTATGCTGACTATTATTGGGTATGATTGGAAGAAAGTTAGGGGCGGCCAAACCAAAACATGGCATCAGTCTATAAAGTCACTAACCCCTAGTCTGAGCCATGTTGGTAGATGCAGACTACTTGGTTGGGGTCTGCATGACTATCGTAACCAATGGTTGGAGACTCTAGGTGACATGGCTCAGAATCGATCACAATGGCGTAGGTGTATGCACTCTTTATCTTCCTTTAAACCGTGAAATTAAAATTGCTTCATATCTTTCTTTCTCCCTATACTATATCCTTATATACAATCTTTCTTTTATATACTACCACCACTAAATTAACTACCTCTATGAATTCAGAGTTCATCTAATTGTGCCGATGAGGTATGACAATTTAGACCGATGCATATGTGTGCCTGGTCCTACGTTGTTGCTGACTGACTGACAATCAATCCACGTCGTTGCGCGTCCATTTTCCATTCTCTTGGTTGGGTATCTGTCTCACACCCGATACCGATCAGCTTTTCACTAAAACTCTGGAGTCTAGTTGGGACGTAACGGTCATTCATTGCTTCTAGGTTTTCAATGGTGGTCTAATTAGATCGGTTCATGACTTCACTAAAATTCAACTATCTCCACAACCCCATGCTGAAGATAATAATTTACTACTGTATCTAAATTATAAGCAGATAGATGGTGGCTAGCAGTGGGATCAAAGGCGCACGTTTCATCCTATTTGGGACTCATTGGCTGGATGTACCTGCATCTCAGAGTTGACTTTCAATCTGGGACTGCACAAATGCCAATAAGAAAATGAATTATATTCAGTTACACTACTAATAGATTTTAAGTAACCTGAGTTTTGGTGGTTATGACTTGAAAATAATTATTTAATTCTTTAAACCAGGGTAAAACTGTTATGGATATATGATGACGGTATTTCCAAGTCAGTCTCTTCTCAAGTTTGTTCATTGGTAATACGTAAGAGTGAGAGCGACTCATTAATGGATATTCTTACTGAGCCATAAATCAATAGTAAGAATGAATCCTTCACTTATTATTTTCATCCCTACGATATCTTATAAGATGAAGTGATGAAATATTTTATGGTTTCACTTTTGGTTATAAGTGCTGAATGACATTGAATTCTCAGGATATATATATATCACTCCAGATATCGGTTGGAACTGAAGTGTATTTATTATTGTCTATTTACAATTTATCCATGTCCCAGCTAAATAATCCATTTACCTAATTACTTACGCCTTTTACCCCCAATGGAGCATAGGCCACCGGTCAGTGCAACTCTTTATGTATGTGAAGTATTTTCGTCTTCATGGCCGGAGTATAACAGCAGCTTCCCTGAAGCTAGTCTTTGTTGTCTAACCTGCATCCAATGTGTTTCACTGATTCCAAGCACCCCTAGGTTGTATCTTTTCATTTCTGAAGCAATTTGGATGGCTCTCCCGGTTTCTGACATTGTACGAGCATTCCATGTACCCAGATAAATGGTTGCTCTGGTTGTCAGAAGGGGCATCCGCCTCGTGGCTTCCGAAGGAACTCGGCTTTCACCATGAGACGTCATAACTCTTCTAAATGAAGACCTTTAACTCCCAAGGCACAATTTCGATAGGTCATTATTTAATTATTACGTAACGTATCTACTCGAAGAATGTTATTTAATTATTGTAAATTAGATATATATAAATTTCTTCGCTAGATTCGTTCTTTTTTTATTAGTCAAATGTCAAAATGGGGATTTTCACTAGATTTTAAATAGTTTGAATAATCTTTCCTGGTTAGCGTTGTTTTAGCTAGCTAGTTTTCTACGGGATGGTGTGGCTAACCCCATGCTCAACCCTCCTTCCTTCTCCGGGCTTGGAACCGGCAGTAACTCCAAAGGGGCTCCATGCGGAGTTTAAATGACCCAATTACTGATGATATTTCAGATGTTAGCTTCTGGGTTTGATAAAGCCAGTATTATAAGTAAAACTATGGAGTGGGTTTTAGGAATCAACGAATTGAGTTTACCTACAATCCCCAATAAGTGTTTCACCCAATACTTTCGATCAATTTCCCATTGATTTAGTGAGTGGCTGCTGAATATTAGAGTGTAATTTTCACCAAAGATTTCATTTCAAGCGTCTGGAGTTATCTGCATCTCTAATACCCATGTTAGTTTAGTTCAGGCCAATATACCATGTAAGAAACACAAATATACAGAAAGTTAGGGTTTGAAATAAAATTTCTGACGAAAAGTAGGCTTAAATACGCAGGACTCATGGGCTAAATAAACGGAAAAGTGATAGGAGGCTCAGGGCGTGACGGACTTTGCGCAAAGCTTCAATCAAAGTGTTTTTTCATTCTTTTTAACTTGTAGGGTGATTTAAACTTTTGTCTGTACTAAGCGTCATTGAATATGAATAAAGCAACATCAATTTAACTAATATATGCATATTTTTTCTCAAGCTTGTTGGCCATTGTTTTTGTAATTTTCCGCCTCTTTCCGATTGTATTCTTCAATATCTAATTATTTACATACTTCTTATTACGTAATGATTTTAATAATGTATTGTGATGACTATTCTGAGTCTATTTACCCACGTTTGACCTATTTTAAATGTTTAACCATTGATAAGACTTTTGTTATCGTAATTTATTATCTCTCAGTACACCTATCTTCCCACTATCAACTTGTACTTTTACCTATTATGTGCGGTGACATATTGAGTAGGTTGGAAGAAAGCTAGGGGTGGCCAGACCAAAACGTGGCACAAATCAATGAAGTCACTGACAAGTGGACTGGGCCATGTTGGTAGGTGTAGACTACCTGGTTGGGATTCGCGAGATGACAGCAACCGATGGTTAGAGACCTTGAATGACATGGCTCAAAATCGTTTGCAATGGCGAAGATGCATCCACTCTTTGTGTTCTACCAAATTCTAATCTTCTGAATTCCTCATGTCTTTATCTTTTTCTCTTTCCAAATTTATTTCACTGTACTATACTCCTTCAATAATTTCTTCAAACCCCTAATCTTTTGGATTTCTGATTATACTCCTACTACTTCTACCACTATGGGATTTGAATCGACAACTGCATCTGTGTGCTAATGTGGTATGGCAACTCGAACTGATGTACGTACGTACGAAGTTCTACGTTGTGAATGTAGTAGTAGTGTAGTGGTGACATATTCTATTTCATTGTGATTATTGACTCAATTCGCCTTGATTGGTCTAACATTTTCATATAAATATTCATGCATATTAGAGTAAAGCCTGATGACGATCTCATTGAAAATAATTATTCGCTTACGTGTGTTGTTTTAATTTTCATAATGGGAATCTTCTATATTATAAAGTCGAAAGTTCACCTGGAATACACGATTGAAAAAGTGGTGTAGTAAGGGGGCAATTTTTCGAATTTTATTAGTCTTAATTTTGATTGAAACGACTAAGAAAAGATAAAGGAAAACATGAACGGTTTTTTGTACTTTTTTTAACAAACAGTAAACAAATAATGCACACAAACAGAAATTTAATCTATTAAATCACAGTTTGACTGACAACACACTGAAAAGTAGATCAAAATGTTAGGAAAGTGAGGAGGGGGCTGGAGGAAGAATGAAAATAAAGAAAAATGAAAACCTACATGTACGTATTGTCAGCACAACAATGCAAATGAAGCAAAAAAGGGAAATGAATGAATAGACCAAACGAAAAGACACGAACGACACAAGACTGCAATCATAAACAAACGATTCATAGATATTTGTGTAGTGATAGCACATAGACAAGCATTCACACGATGTGAAAAAACTTTGAAAATCTCACAAAATAGTTCGCTTGAAAAAAAAGGAAACGATTAGTTATTATATCACATTCAGTCGATAACACTTTGTCAGACATTATGCACGACCAAAATACATGTTTAGATATACATAATAGTTATAAAAAAATATTAGTATTGCAAAACACCAAGTTACAAAAGTGCAGTTATTGGGTATATTTCGAATAATTCAGGCAGAGAAAAAAATCAAACTAACACATTATTTATATACTTTGTTTTTAGAAAAAGAGTAAATATATGAAAATTAGAAAATGTGAATAAATACAAATGGAACATGATTTTTGGTGCAAGTAACAGAGATTTTTTATTGTTTCAAGAATCATGAAAAGTCAACAGAATCTACTTATTATGTAAGTTGAGAGCAGAAACAAATTTTTTCATGTGATATGAAAGAAAGACCATAAGGTTAACGAAAACAAGCAAACAATTACAACAGTATACAACAAAATGCGACTAAAAATTGAACGTACCCCTAACAGACAAATATCACGAAACTGGTACCGAAATGACATGACGGATCGCCATCTTGTTTATATATATATATATATATATATATATATATATATATATATATATATATATATAAGAGGAGATTGCAGAAGTTTAAACAAACGAAAGACACCAAAAATAGTCAATCATGAATTCGTTCACCGTAGTTTAAAATAATAAAACTTAGATTCACAAAGAAATACAGGAGGCATGATAAACAACAAAAAACAAACAAATTTAGAAAAGGAATCACAGAAAAATTAGTCTTGTTCAAGACCTAATTCTGAGTAATGGTGTGAAATCATGGAGGAAAACAACAACAAGGAGTGAAAAAGTCAGCTGGTATTAAAACGTTTGTCACAATTCCCAGCTGAAGAGATGATACTTGACTAGCATATCTCCGGTCGTCTCTGTTGCAGCCGTTGTTATATTACTATCTATTTCATTCAAGTTCTCATCGTTCGGTATTAGAATTGACGATAAAGACAGACATGGTGGATCATTCATTGGATCGACAACAGATGAAGCAGTCACTAAACGTTGTAAAGGTTTGACTTTATGAAAGTCTAATGCATTACCCAACGTAGATGCTACCTTTGAGCCGGATTTATTGGTACGACGCGGCAAACTATCCGATGATGAAGCAAATAATTTAGGCGCCGTAAAACTATTTTGTCTACTATGATTAAAATTTTGAAGACTGTTTAATTCATATGTTGGTGATAAATGAAACGCGAATTGACTAAGAACACTATAAGGAAATTACAAAAAGGACAGTGCTATGTGAATAATTATTGGAAACAATATCTATAAAAAGTGAAAGCTACTGAATAGAACAACTGATGAAAAGCAAATAAGTACACTACAAGTACAACATTGAATTTAATGAGCGAACATGATTCATATAGAATGTTAAATTAAATTAGCTTATATGTTAAGTGAAAATCTAATATCTTAGATTTTCACTTAACATATATGCAGATTCAAGTTAACATTCTATATGAGTCATATCAACATTAACAACTTTATTCTATTTGGTTTGACAATCCTACATTTACATGCTTTAAACGATGTACTTTGCACTTAACCTGGCTATTTTTTCGGATTATTAATTTGGATATATAATTGTAGAACCCGAAGAGAATTCATTGAAAAGAATATTCTTCGTTCAAATATTAGTCTTTTACACAATTGCTGCTTCATTTTGATTGTGGCGAATCGGCGTACTAGTGGTGAAATCATTTCTGCTCATAAATATTTCGTATAAACTAAAGAAAATACGACTTGTTTCATTATTCTACTTAGATACAATTCTATTTTCTCGACGTTGTTTCGATCATATCTGGTCTGACTGCCAGCTAGCTGTTACATGAAATACTTCGATATTAAGCAAGCTTACGTTTATACAAACGACAAAGTACAAATTCAAACTTCAATTTCATCTAATGAAACAATCTATTATTATATAAAAATGAAAACTGATTTTAACTGGCACACATACCGTAATTCACATTTAATTTGAACCCAACCAGGACTGCGAAGATATGACCATGGGTGATACCATTTACTAACTACTTTAACTGATGAACAAAGGATTTCGAACCATAAATGTAATAGTTGTTCGCTTAAAAATTGTTAAAAAAATGATTAAATCAAGGATGTGAACGTTATTATTAAATTAGACATGATCATAAAACTTTGAAATCATAAGCAAATTACTTAGTACAGTTGTTATTTCAGTGAAACATGAATGTCATTCAACACCACGTACTCATAATTGATGGAGATGGTGATAAGGGTCAGTTTTGTGAGAGGCTGGAGTTCATCACAGAGAGATACATATAGAAAAACATCTGATTATCCTGATGAAAGACGTAAACGTCAAAGTCGGGATCGACAACATAGGATAAGAACGCCTCATGAAGAGATATGAACTAAAGGAAAAAAAATGAGAGTGGTGTTTACAGTATAGCTGTACGCCTTCAACAACATAGTTATAAGCGGCAGTATTTACCCCATCAGTACATACACGAACCTACATGTATTTCACCGGACCACACTACGAAAAAACAGATTGATCACATATGCATGAGTTAAGGATTCAAAAGATTCAACCAAGGCGTGAAATTAAAGAGAGAAGCTGATATGGCTGCAAATCACTACCTGGTTGGTGATTGCCAAACTGAAACTAAAGTCCGAAAAATATTAGACAATTGGACAAGAAGCTCTAGAATAGTTTGACAATGAATGTCGTTTACCCGATGCTGACTTTTTCAGACCATTATCCTCAAAGATGTTATACATCACTTCGGAAAGGTCTTAGAGGAATAACAAATACTGACAGACTTGAAAAAGGGATACTTTTCAAAGTACGAAGGAAAAAGAGATCTCATTAAGTGTTTGGGAACTACAGTGGAACCGCACTATTATCAGTACTAAAGAAACTCTTCAACAGAGTGTTGCTGAAGGAAATAAATATCCAGTAGACTCCAAACTTAGGGATTAGCAAGCTGGCCTTCGTATAAGTTGATCGTGTGCCGACAAAATCCAAACACTACGGATCATTGTTGAACTACTAATCTAATGGAACTCATCTCTGTAAACCAAAATGAAGACCTTCACATTTCAGGAGTTGCATGTAATACAGTGAACATCCTGGATGTGGCTAGACAACTTGAACTTTGCAGATGACCTAGTTCATCTATCCCATACACAACATCAAATGAAGAGGAAGACAGGCAGTATAGCAGCAGCCTCTTCAGAAGTACGTCTCAACATCAACAGGGGAAAAAATAGAGTCCTGAAGTGCAACATAGAAAGCACCAACCAAGTCACAATTGATGTAGAATCTCTCAAGGTGGTCGAAGCCCTCACTTACCTGGGCAGCATCGTTGATAAACAAGTGTGATCTGATGCAGGTGTCAAGTCACAAATTGGTAAGACAATAGCAGATTAACAGTAGTTAAAGTGTATCTAAAGCTTAGAAGAATCCACTCAACACCAAAACTAAAATCAATTCAGAGTTATTGAGAATAACATTGAACAAGTCCTATTGTACGGAGCTGAAACCTGGCGAACTACTACCACAATCACCAAAACGGTACAGATATTCACAAACAAGTGTCTACTCAAAATACTCCAGAACCATTGGTCAGGGACCATAAATAATAACCTATTTGGATAGAGAATAAACCAGATGGTATTCGAGAGAGTAATTAGGAGAAGCTACTTGGATTGTTTGGATAAAATACACATTGTGGAAACCATGCAACTGCACCACAAGGCAAGCTCTAACTTGGAATCCTAAGGGAAAGGAGAGGTTGCAGACCAAAGGACATGTCTCATCGTATGTTCGAAGCAGGCATCAAAATCATGAATAGAACTTGACAACAACCTGAAAAGTGAGCCCAGGACCGAACTGATTGGAATTTCCTCGTAGGTTGTTCGGGCCCAAAAGGGGTATCAGGCATAATCAAGTAGTATTAAGCTGGAATCAAACGATTCACATTTACTGGAAATAACAGACAAACTGGTACGAGTTCCAGTATCCCATGATTTTTTAATGATTCACGATAAAAACTATCATTTGATTAGCCAAATTAGAATAGGCGACTGTACTGAAGCAAAAACTAGGAATCAAATAGTTATGAGAACTTGAGTGTACAACCAATGTTTTTTTCTGTCTATAAATATACAGAAGTCAATCTTGAAAGTGGATTCAAATACTGAAAGACTGCGAAAGAGCGGATTATTAATTATTGGGGAATATTATTTTTAGTGTTTATACGTATAAGTTTTTTGACTTACAGGTGATTTCGCATTCAGTCAATAGAAAGCAGATAAAATTATCAATTTTACATGTAAAGACAAAATCGAAAAAGTAAAAGCTAAAAAAACTACTCACTTTAAACCTGAGCAGACCAAGGAACGAAATTTGATATCCATATGAGCATTAACCAAATCGTGTGACATGTTTATACTATGTATTGTCTGTACAAACATATGTTTTTGTGTATAGACAGTACATAAGCATTCGTAGGCGGATTGGACGTGGTGAGTAGGCGTTTTAGGGAAAGCGCATGTGATTCCGATAGTTAAAATAGCAACAAAAAAAAACAGGTAGAGCTAAATATAGCGACAAACTATGTTGTTTGGTATGAAAATGAAGTTACGTAGCTTATGGCTGTATACACTGCAAATAATAAAAGCAATAAATAATAATAGTAATGGTTGTAATAGTAACAATAAGCCGCTAAACGATCCGTGTTAATGGAGTCAAATAACGTAAATAATTAAACATGTCACGTAATACTCTTGAAAAATATATGAATGGGGGAAGGTAGGGAAACACCTAAGATGGGATTTTAATTAGTTATTATTCTGAAAAATAACACTAGACTATAAATTATGTTTAATTATTACGTAAAAACGTCATAAGTAGCTTAAATCAAATAGGCCAATGTGTGATTAGTTATACAGAATGAGGAAGCAAAAAACAAAGATAATTACACAATGATTCAAATAAATTCAATAAATTCTAAAAGGGGATACCACTTATATGTATACTATGACAATATTGAATAACGACGTCTCCAGAAGATTCAAATGATGCTGAAAACCGGAATTTCCATAACATAACTGTGAACAAAACTTGCTGTGATCAGTGAAATTAAAATTAAAAAAAAGGTGAGTAAAGCTGATAATACGGGAGTACACACTAGTATTGAAGTGTGAATAACTAGGATTAGTTTAATTTGTTGTCGTTTACATGTCTAACAACAAAGCTAAACAACAGCTGAAAGACTATAGAAAAAAAGATTAATGATGTGTACATACAAGCATGACAACTCACTCTATATAATACTTCTTCCGGACTGAGGACTTTGCATTCTTCGTCCAATCGGAAGGTTTTACATAATACTAGACGTGAGTAGACAGAAGAGAAATCTCTTTCTACTTCTTTAGCCGCAGCTTCTTCAATAAAATGCCATGGATGACAACCAGTATCACCGAGTAGACGTGGTCGCTTCAAACCATGTGAAAATACAGCTCCAAGTGAATGGCACAAACTAAAGAAAAAACAAGTGACACAAGTAAAAGACAACGGGGCTTTACGAATCTGTGTCGAGATTTCATCAGACGTTAACCAAGGTTGATTAAATTTGAGGGTCCCGTTGATATGACTCCGATTTGATCGTATGATGGTGTCAACAAAACATGCATGCCGGCTACCCTCGTATATAATTATGGACTTGATTAGCGTTACAAAATAAGTGAAATACGAGAATGAATTTCGGATATGTATATTTAATACACTCGTTACCCCAGACAGGCTAGTTCTGAAGCAATATTGGGGATTTAGAGAGGGAGAAACGAATTATTACTCAAGGAAATCAAAAGGCGGAGATGTTGTAGGAAATAGTGGAATGCTTCGAAGGATATAAAAGAAGATAGAATGTCATCACACAAATCTTGCACATAGCCTCTCAATCAGATAAAAATCAATCATATTTGAGTGGTATATTCCAAGCAATTTTAGAGGGGATTAGTGTACGAAAAAAATGAGCCGAAAAATAATGTGAAACGTCGGGGTTAGCGATGTGTATGCGGATATGTTAAGTAATTCAATTTAGTAAGTAAACAGGATCATGCTTAGTTTTAAAAATCTATCAAATTTTACTTTTGAAATAATACCCAAAGATGCCTTGAACGTACCAGTGATTTGATTTATACTCTATAACTATTCTGATCCAATTAATAAATGTTAATGTGGGGTATAAACGAAAACGTAAAACTTGTCAAATTATTTTCTGGGTAGTTAAAGATAGTGAGAGATAAGTGGTTGGCTTTATTAGTATTCTGATTAGTAGTTGAGAATGTTTCGTGGACTGTCGACCGTGAGCGTATACAGGAAGTGAGTGGACTCAGTAGATGTACTCAAGCGCTGGTTGCTGAGTGCGACTTTAAGTTCCAAAGTCGTGTAATTAACTAAGTTGCAAACTTCTTTGTTAATTGTACATTAGTATGGGTGTAAATGAAATAATGAAGATTATTTAAGAAAGTTTCGAAAGGAAAGAATGGAGAGAAATTAAGGATGGAGTAATAACAACAAGTACTATAGTACGACTTACAGTAGATAGTGAACTAATTCCTAAATTTTATTTTTTGTTCTGAAGGGAGAAAGAAAGCATTACTCTATTCTTCATCCCAATAAAAACAAATAATAGTAAACAATTGATGACCTTAATCTCGTTCCAAAAAAAAGCTCTAGAGAAGAAATAACTAATAGCACTACGTTAAAAAGTGAGTAGAATAAAATGAATATTTTCTAACCGCATTCTATTCACTTTAACTTATCTGTGCAGAGATTTATTATTCTGCAAATGCTCAATAATCTAAATTGAATTGTATTATTAATAACTAGATAAGATGGTAAACGCGTGTACAATTCAAGAATGTTTCGATTAGGACATAACTGGCAAGTACTTTGATGAGCTATAGATTTGAAATTTGAGTTTTTTTTTTAGTCAATAGGTTAACACAAAAGCCTATCACAACAAAAATGTTGAAAAGTTTGGTCATTCTAGTTAAATATAAGTACATGGATTTTATACAGCTTGGATAATCTTTAAGCTTTGATCAATGTAACTAGCAAATCTTTAAACAGGTGTGGTTATAAAAGCATAAGAATTATGATATGTGATTATTATAAAATTACCTTCCGCGAACAAGGCCGATAATTAATCTGTCTACACCATCATCACCAGCTGGAGAATAATTTTTTCCACGTTCATCTAACAATTCAACAAACTTGGCGGGAAACCAACCTTGCTGATCATTTAGTTCACCAATCCAACAATGTTCGTCATCTGAGTTAATAATGGTTAGGATATCATTTTTATGAAATTCCAGTTCATCTACTTCAAAGCGTTCAAAATCGATCAATGCTTTGGCACGTCGTCTACGATGTTGTACAACCTATGATTTTTAAACAAATGATATGTTTAGGAAATTATAGTGTTGATAGTTGTTTTAATTACTGTACGTGTTTTAATACATTCTGACGTCTGTACAAAAACATCTATCTTCTATTGAATGGATGGTGACAGCTAATCGAATCTCAGACGAAACGAAACATAAAAATGTAGCCCGAAGCTATTGACTCAGTCAGTCACAACGTAGAACTTCGTACGTAGGTACATCAGTTCGAGTTGCCATACCACATTATCACAGAGATCCAGTTGTCGATTCAAATCTCATAGTGGTAGTAGTAAGAGTATAAGCATTAATGTGAAAGATTAGGGTTTGAAGATGTTATTGAAGGAGTATAATCCAGTGAAATAAATTTTGAAAGAGAAAAAAGATAGGGACATGAAGAATTCAGAAGATTAGAATTTAGAAGAACACAGAGTGGATGCACTTCGCCATTGACTAATGGTAAAGGTCTGTAGAACAATGATTTGATAATTTGAAGCGAAACTCTGTTCTAGGCTATCTGCTGCAACGAAACAATAAAATAATTGTCTGCTTCTGTTACTTTTTGAACAATTCATACTTATAATGCATAGATATAATATACAATATAGGGTACGGATACTGAGTAACTGAGGTACATTATTGTAAATGAAAAAAATCATTTTTCTACATGACATAATAAAAATGTGATGACAAAGAATAAGGCAATAACTAACGATTTTTAAAAATTTATTTTGTGATCTGATGACGTAAGACATGAATACAAAATACTTATTTTTTGAGTAATTGGTAGACTGTGTATAATTAATCGAAATGATTTGAAAATTTGAGTGCAGACGGTTGATTGGAACAGAAATTTATACTACAACGAAAAAAATGGTTATATGCCTTTTAGTAAATAACTGGAGATATGTACAAAACCCAAAATACGAACGAAGTTTCTGGATTAACCCTGCTAAATAATCAAGTTACTAAATTTTGAAATGTAGTCGAAAACCTCACTAGATTATAGTGATTTGGTTACAGAAATTACCCATTCAAAATTCCTGTAATAAGAGTCCATTATGAGGTTAGGTGAGCTAGCGATGGAAGGAAGTACGTAATAGTAACGACTACAGAATGCCCTGAGGTCAATGAATTGTCGTACAGACGCATAGGTCTACCATAACACCAATGATTAATTACGAGACAGTGGTATCTTTAGATGGCTACATTTACGATATTCAAAAGCCCGAAGAAGGCTTTATATACAGTGATTTTGAATTAAATATCGCTACAATTGGGATGGTTTGGAAATAATAAGTAGAATTGGAAGAATGAATACATGCATTTTTCCTTTAAAATTGAGCCTGGTAAGTGATCAAGTAAATTACTTTGATCGAAGAATATACATGGCAATAGGTAAGCTAACTTGAGCCAATATGAATATTTTGTTGTACGTATACAGACTCCCCAAATGTCCTGGTACGGCCGAGTGCGGATGGCCCACCCTCTCTCTCGAAATGCTCTCACACGGCCACGCGTATATAGCCTCTGCCACAAAAGTCCTACTCACTGCCTTCTCGCATCACGGGTGTTGTTCACGAAAGTGAGAGGACGAAAAGCGAATGCACGGCGCTTTAACCGGGTTGGTGGATACGGAAAGTTCACCTAGGGGAGTTGGGAAACCCTGATTCCAAACCAATGGTGCACATGGGCTCCAGTATCCTGATGGAACGAATGGCGGACGAACCTGTCATTGGTCAATGACTACCATGGGACTGCATCTCCTCACGATGCTACACTGCCTTGTGGATCAGACCTTTAGGTCAAAGGCTCGAGGTGTGGCCCCCTAAGAAAACCACCTGCTTCAGTTTGGGCACTTGGGCAGTATCACAGCCCTCACACAAATCAAATGAGATTTGTGCGGCGCATATGTATCTGGTGCTTCATTGTACCAATATTTATGTGTTTAAATAAATAACATAAATAAATGTACAGACGCCCACTGATCCTTATTTCATAAGTATTCAAAAGGATCGAGTACTCTAAATGAAAAAGATTACAACTACTAATAATTATAGCGATGTAAATGAGCATAAATATCTTTGTATTAGAAGTAGCATATAAATAAAAACTGAACGAACAACTGAGTAGAAAAACAGAGAAAAACACTACGGAAAAGCAAAAAAAAGTGATGATATGCAGAATAAATGGAAGTGAAAAGTAAATGGACGACAAAATAGGAGTTTACGTAAATAACTGTGAAAACATTTGGTTGTTTTTTGGGTCGATCTACAATGGTTGGATAAAAACTTACGAAACTACAAGCCAATTATATCGAAGATATGAAAAAAGGTTATAAGTAAGAATCTGAATAAATGATCATGACGATTCAATTTTTATATTTGAATATAAACACTGACATACATCCCTTTTCTTTTCTGCTACAATTTGGATAAGAAACGTTTTTCTATACATGTCTAGATTCACAAGCAGTTTGAAAGAGAAAAACGAATAACTTCACAGTTATAATTAGATGAGAAAGCGTGTCAACGACAAAGGAACTTAACATACGATGTAAATGTAGTCAGATAATGTTCTGAATTTCCTATTACAGACTCAGTGGTTAGCAGGAAACATGTGTTGCTTTTGAGACATCGAAAGAATTAAGTGAAAAGTCTAAATGAGTAGTCCCAAACAAAATGGGAACATATACAGTGCTTAATGATTCATAGAGTTCCTGATATCCATTAATGATAGGTTTCATCAAGTGAACGAATTATATGAGATTTATATAAACTATCGTGAGATCTATAAGTAATGAAGACCGATGAGATTTCATCTACAGAGATAGAAAAATATAAATGCAAAGAAATAGCACTTTGGTGTTTTTCTTGCCAGATGATTGGTAAATTTTAGTTAGTAAATAACAAACGTAGAAAAACGAAACAAAATTATGAGTAGATAAAATTTACTTGTACATAAGAATCGAGATCTAATTTGTGACTCTCCATTGAATAGTCTGCATGTGCTGTAGCGTCACCGTGTTGTTCAGGATCATTTGTACGGAAGTGACGTACAATCTAAAATATAAAAAACGATGAAACTGACAGTGAGAGATGAGCGACACGATTTGGCGCTGATCATTTTTTACTTCGATACCTAGTTTTATTTATTGGTAACGTAAGAAATCTTTGTCATAATAAGGCATCAAAAGAATGAGCAATACAAAATAGAATGATAGTATTGTGCACAGTTAGTAGAAAGGAAAGTCATATGGTCACTAGCTACATAGATAAAATGGTACATATAAAGAAAAGCTCAACTATAAATACGAACATGTAGATTTCCTTCATTTATGAAGGATTATATTACTTTTATTAGGTGTGTTAGAAAACTGACTTCCATTTTGAACTACGGCTGATAATATCTCAGGCCATGACCACTAGGAATTCAAACATGGAGTCATGATGGACCAACAGAAGCCGATTCTATAGAGCTATCTTCATAGTCACATGTCATAAAACGACTCCCTTTCCGCAAGCAGTATACGTATGTTAACAAAATATGATAAATAATAACGATATACAGAATATTAATTCACATACCAACTGAATCGATTGTTTTAATTCTACAAGTATTTCTGTTTGGTGCACATTCTTCAATTTCGGATCGTCCGCTTCAACACAGCCTTCATGTAAGCTAACACTTACATATGCAGGCTTACAATGTATAGATGATGATGAAGGTGACAACTCATTATTACCAATAGAATACTGAAATGGTACAGCCATGCCAGTAATTCGACGATATGTTTGTCCATTTGATGCTACAGATGCAAATAATGCAGTGAATAAAGATTTGGGTCGTTGAAATTGTCGTTTAGCTAGATACTGAAGGTAAAAAAATAAATAGATTAGAAGGAAAATACTGAATTACAATGCAAGAGAATTAGGAATTACAGTGAACAATACAGGAAAGAGGTTATTTTACATTAAATTTATTCTCAATAGTAACAAATGGAAGAAAACTACAGGTAGTCTTTGACAACCAAACGCAGTTACGATAATTTAACTAACATTACCTCTGCGAGAAAGGGAAGAGAATGATGACAGAATTGCAATTTAGGGGCCTTCAACAAAGTGGTTATAGGTGGTACTATATTTTCTAGAAACGCATACACAAAACCATATGGGTTTAACTGAACAACACTACGGAGAACAAGATTAATCACACTTGCATCAAGAATGAGTTAAGAAGCTTGATAGTAGATGCGAGAACAAAAAGTGGAGGGCACACAGCTTCAGATCACCACCCAGTGATGGCAAAGAGCAAAATAAGCGAAAGGAACACTGTACAACTGGAGAAACAGCATTACAAAGGTTCAATATAGCCTTCCTTCGAGGTACTGACAAACGCAACGAATTCAAGATAACTGCCAACAACAGGTTCCAAACCTTGCAAGATCTACTCGAAGAAAAGGGAACGACTATGGAGGACAACTGGAAAGGGACCAAAAAAGCACTAACTTCAACGTGTCAGGAGGTTCTGGGTCGCAACAGGCATCATCATAAAGAAATGGATCTCCATCGAAACCCTAGACAATATTCAAGAAAGAAAGAACAAGAAGACAGCAATTAACAACAACTGAACGAGAACAGAGTAAGTGAAGGTCTAAACTAAATACATAGAAGCAAACAAGCTAATGAAGAGGAGCATTAGAACATACAAGCAGATATATGTGAAAGACCTAGCAACGACAGTAGGTAAAGCTGCAAAAGAAGGAAATATGCTGCAACTATATGATATAATGAAGAAACTGGAAGGAAAATATAGTAAACTGAATCACGAAGTAACTTGAAATAACTTGGAATCCTGAAGGCGAAAGAAGAGGCCTGTGCTACACGAGGAGCGATTGGCGTAAGTAAGTAATGTTATGTATTTCCACACGTACATCTTACTTTTGAAATACGTAAGGCAAAAACTTCGTAATAACTATTAATCCAATTAGCACTGTGCGTTATGATGGGTTCGATTGAAATTAGTTTTTAAGTGTGTACTTGTTTTCTCATAGACCAAAAAGGCGATTATATAGTGATAGAACATGGTCACTAACTTTACGTTTGTTTCAAGGATTTTATGATTCAAGACTGTGATGATAATCAATTCAGACACCTATCCTCGTTCATGACGATTTTATTTGTACACTTGCTTCGGAGAATTTCTTTCCCGAGTTAATATACTCAAAATTCTTTCACTGAATCAAGTCCTAATAAAATCTAAAGTAAAGTTAAAAATCAGCTTCAATGGTGGATATATAAGTATTTTGAGCGTGTTGTAGAATATTCAAGGCAGTTTTACTGCACAGTATTACAAAAAAATAAGATGTTAAGTAAGCGGAAGACATATTGAGTAAAACGCCAGAATGTGGTTATGATTGATCGAAGAATGAATAAATGAAAAGTTTGTAAAGGATTAGTTATCATGATATTTGCTTCTGTTACCGGCGCAGTCACAGCTTCACCAATATATATATATTTACAATTCAAGAATTTGTGTTCTGGATTCCACGGCTAGCAACTATCCGTCTCTGCTTATAAATGTAAGAAAGCTTAAGTAGTGTTTATCAACATACCCGATTACAAGGGCATATTTTTGGATGGTTTTATCTAGAAAAAGAGTTGGAGAAGGGAATACTTCAAAAATTTTGTTGCACCATATAAGGATTGATCAGTGGAGTAAAGAAGCAGATATTAGGAACACACAAAACAATGTCAGGTTTGATGTAGTATAGAAGTAGTATAGAATATGCTTGATGCTAATATGAGTTCACCTTACTCGGTAAACGGAACGAAGGTCAAAGACAATGACACAATAGGCTATTCTAATTCGTTGTCCCCGGCCCCGCTAACCAGAGTGAGAAGTCCAAGTTAGAAGTGGAAAAGATATATTTCGTAAGCAGCCAGAAGCACAAGCAGGAAGAAATCAAACGTACACATACAGCATAAAACTTTCCTTGGGAAACTTTACCAAATAGCATACTAAAAGGTAAAACAGACCGATAGCGTCCAAGATTCTTCCGAGTGGGGAATACGACATGAAGGTGAAAAGAGAGCTTTTGGCGCGAAAACAAGGAAATTCAAATTTTCAAAATAAAATTACAAAAACAGGTCGTTTATTAGGTACGTTCTGGGAATCTAACACCCCCTTTTTATTAACGAAAATTCTTATGGTCCGTCTGTCGCCGTTGGCATAGTGACCACCTTCTGGATCGTAGATCAACTTGTCTTTGTGCCTCTTCTTGTGTTGGGACTACGGGCAGATTAAAGATATATAACAGGATCTTCAGCGGGAGATTTTCTTCTGCCGGTGGGCACGCTGGTAGCTGGTTCCGGTGTCTAGTACACTCATCTCTTCCCACCTCAAGCTCGTACATATCTTTGCCTAATTTTCTAACCACACATGCTTCAGTCCAGGGACCATGATTTGGTCTGTAGTCTCAAGCGAACACCGAACATCCAACCCTGTACATTGGCAGCTTCTGAAATGTGGTCTGTGATGGCGATGGTGTGGTTCTTGGAAGCATCAAATTGTAAATTGTCCTTAATTTTCTTCGTATGAGGATCTCTGCCGGAGACTTCTGACCAGGTAGCATATCGCTAAGTATCGTTCGGTAGACGAATAAGTCCTGCAGTGTTTCCACTGGTGTCCCTTTCCCTTTTGACTTGATCAGAGCTCTATTGAATGCATCCACAAATCTTTCTGCTTGACCGTTTGATTGTAAGTGGTAAGTCGGGGGGGGGCGGAGATGCTTGATAGATGGCCGTTTGCAAAACTCTTGGAACTGAGTTAAGGTGAACTGTGAATACAGTCGGATACAATTACATTCGCTAATCCGCTGTGGGCGAACATTTCTGTCAAGAGTTTCACCGTTTGGGTGGTCGTTGGTGGCGCGATGGGAACAATATCTGGCCATTTTGAGAAGGCGTCAACTACGATTAGGTAGGTGGTTCCATTGATTGGACTGACAAATCCCTGGACCAGGGATACTAATGCTGCGGCCATGGGACCGGCGGCATTTTCGCATCACACTTCGCTGTTTGCTGACACTAAATCCATGATGTGCTGATCCATGAAGGGGCCAATAAGCATGGCTTTTGGCGATGGGTTTCATTTGCTTTATACCAGGATGATCAACATGGAATTCCTTTAGCATCCTTGATCGTAGGGACTCTGGCACCACCACTCTATCTCCAAACATTCATTCACGAAGCATGAGTCCCGACGGTGGTGAAGCCGCTTCATGTCACCATGTAATTCAATCGGTGGCCAGCTATTGGTGACGTAGTTCATCGTTTTTCTAATGATAGGATTGTTTCTGGAAGCAGTTTGCAATGCAAATTCTGAGACTGGCAAAGCGCGAACAACAGTTGTTAGGTAGCAATGCGCGTGGCCTCCTATCGAAATTGAAACAATAACCGTATCTTCATCGGTCGTAGGGTGTTCGCTGATGAGTCGTGACAAGGCATCTGCTTGACCAAATTGTTGAGTGCGTCGGTATTGGATCTCGAAATCATGCCCCAGGAGTACCAAGGCCCATCGCTGAAGACGATTTGCAGAATGGACCGTAATGCCAGATTTTGACCCAAATATTGCGAATAGAGGCTTGTGATCTGTGAGAAGTGTAAATCTCCGACCTTACAGAAACTTGTGAAAACAGCGAACAGCAAACACAAGTGCAAGAGCCTCTTTCTCTATCTGGATGTATTTCTTTTCTGCCGGGCTTAGTGTGCAGGATGCATGCATAACAGCTTTCTCTGATGCGTCTGGAAACTGATGTGAAATAACAGCAACTAGGCTATAAGCTGAAGCGTCTGCAGCTACGATGATCGGCATGCATGGATCGTAGTGCGTTAACAACGATTCCGAGCTAATTACAAAACGCCGCACCACATTCTTTAGTCCAGTTCAAAGTGCTGTTCTTCTTCAGAAGAAGATTCAATAGAGCGCGAATATCATGCATCGAAGGAACGAACGCTACGTAATAGGTAACAAGTTCCATGAAGGAACGTAGTGCTGAGACGTAAGTTTGATAGCTCGAATGTTCTCAGGATCAGGCCTGCGGCCGTCGGCGTCATAAATGAAACCCAAGTACTTTACTGACTACAATAAAAACTGGCATTTCACTGGGCGTAACCGGAACCCGTTGTCACTGGTGCGTTGCAGTACCAATATCGTGCGTTCCTGTAGTTGCACCAATGTCGTCGCAACAATTAAACTGTCATCGAGATAAGCCGCGACCCCCGAGATACCTGATAGGATCGTATCCATTAGTTGCTGGTAGATGGAGCAGTCTTGACTTCAAAAGGCAGACAGTTATGCTGAAAAAACCCACGATAAGTATTGACAGTAAGCAGCTCTCTTGATGTTTTATCTACTTTTACTTGCAAGTAAACATTAGCTAGATCCAGTTTTGTGAAAAACCCTTCCCCACTTAGCATGATAAATAAATCTGCAGGAACTGGCAGAAAATAATGATGCTGTTCTAGAGCTGCATTTAGACCTATAGAAAAATCAGCACATATGCGTATCGTGCATTTGACCTTCTTGATAACAACTATCGGTGCTGCCCAAGCATAGTAGGAAACGGGCGTAATAACTCCTTGTTGAAGACGATTCGATTCTTCATCTACTGTTGGTAATGTTGCACAAGGCACGGGTGTCTTTGGACGGAAAGCAGGCTTAGCCCCAGGTTTCAACCGAAGCGTTGCTTTCATGCCAGAGCACCGTCCCAATCCAGGTTGGAAAATAGGTGAAAACTGCGTCATTAGCTTCCTTGTAAATGCTTCAGTGTCATGTGGTTGTGATACCGGGTGGCATATAGTATTTAACGGGACATCAACTAATTTTAGCTGGTCTAACCAATCTAAACCAAGTAAATTTAGATCAACTGGCGTTATGTGATATACCCCAGCAAACGACGAATCTCTGGAAGTAACTTCACATTCCTATTGTCCCAACAAGCGAAGGTAATTACCGCATGCAGTACGAGGCTTTTGTGTTGTTCGCTGCATGCTTGGGCTGTCGTTTTGGTCCAATTTTTACATGAGAGGATGTTGACATCTGAAGCCATATCTATCTGCAATCTAAAGGAACGTCTATTAATATTAAAGGTAATGAATTTCCTCTCACCTGGTGATGAGCTTTGACAAGAAGATACTAGGTTCAATGATTTAGGAACAGCCTTTTTGCTACTTCTGGATCGGTTTAATATCATCTTAAGACAAAACCCCTCTTTGTGACAGACGACCTTACACTTCCTGAATCGATTTTGCCTAAATGGGCGGTTTCTTACATAGTGCAATCCGCCACAGTGCCAGCAAGGAGCAGGGGGATTCGTTTTAGTCTGTCGGACTGAGCTGAAATGAGATGGACTGGGTGTAACGGCAGCACATTTATTCTGGTTAGTTGTATGTTGGACTATTCGTACTTCAGATCGACTAGACACACCACTCTGAATCATAGTCGTGTTTTTATGTCACTGAACTTTTGGGAGTGGAGGCTGCAAATGAGGATGAGGGCTTTAAACTGGACTTCAGACAAAAACTTCAACCAGAAGCGTTCGCATTCACGGTTGACGATGCCCACATGCGTAAGAAAACCATCGTCTTCGTTCATAATTAGCTTCAAACATCGATAACGAGTATTAAACAATGATGAGTTGTCATTGAAGTGTTGGCTTAATGTCTGGACTGTGTCTGAGAAAGAACGATCACGAGGGTTCAAAAGCAGGATCAATTTACAGTACCTATCCAGCTCACTTGCACCCAACTTTCGAAGTAGCAGCCGAACCTTCCAAGCATGATCTTGATTCGCAAAATCAGATTTAAATAGGTCTTACATCTATATTCTACAATTAACCTACATATACGTTTAATGTGACTTTTCAAAATTTTAACGTATTATGGACTGATGAATCAAATGTTTATGAAGAGCGTTGCTGATACATGGATAAACAATCTTAGCGCAAATCACAGATAGCGTATATGAAATGGTAGAAAAATTACTGAGCTAGAGAAAAGAGAAAACTGAAAAGAATGAGATATCTGAGATTATCATAAAAAGTTCAAATTCATTTAAGCTTCATGACTCATAGCTCAACGTAATGGTGCCTATTTAATCCTTCATGTTTGTACTAAAAAAGAAATTAAATCGTCGAAATACAAATCATTTTTGATTATGACTAACGTAATGTGAGACAAATAAAAGTCTGTCAAGGTGGAATATTCACGTCAATTTATTTTGTAAGGTTTTTCAGTAAGCGAACGCTTCACCTTCAAACTTAACACCATAATAAGCACGTTTATGCATTGTATTCAGCATGATAATGTGTCGCTCTTTCTTCAAACGGTAATCCAGAAAACAACAAGGTACGAATGCTAAGTAAGTGTGATTGAAACAAGAGACTGGAATTCACTCTAATCAAACAAAAAGAAAAAAATGTACCGAGCATAAAAACAAATGAAATAAATGAGACTTTTGCTCACTTGTTTAGGTAAATTAGGACGAGAATCTGGTTTCAATACAGCGCCTTCATCAACCATAAGCTGAGCTAAGTAATGACGTCTAAGACTACTGATATTTGATGGTTCCAAATGTTCATCATCTAGACTGTAGGCAACCTAATGAAACGAAAAATGAATGTAAACTTTGTACGATTTTTTTAAATACCGAAAAATCTTAACGATAAAGTCGATCTTCGGTACAATTTGAGTAGTTGTAATGTATTGTAACGAAAAATGATTAAAATTAGTCACAATGAGAATGGGAGATTATAAATTATGTTTTAAGTCATTTTTGATGTCTTCGAATCTAGTGAATGAAAATTCAGTACGTACTTTTTGTGCCCGAATAATTACATACAAATAAGAAATGTCGATGTTTGGATCGGACTTGGTCATATAGATGAAGAATGCAAAACCGTGATACTTGGCCAGGTTCAAGATTGAATGGCTGACGTGGCTACGAATAAGTATAAGAATCTGTTTCTTGATGTAAAATTTTCTAGTGTGCTTTATTAGAAGAATATAAACAATTGTTTTGTTTTGAGATTAATGTACTCTAAAAGCATATTATAAGCTGATACACATTATACATCAAAGTTAGAATGGCATGAAAATGTTTCTGCTTTGAAAGTGATACAGTATCATGATGTTATGAAGATGTATTGTGTGAGTTATGTATCATAACTTTGATTGTTGTTGTAATAAGCAATCTCATTATAACTTGGCACTATAAACATACCATATATTCTCTGTTACTCAACAGAGTTTTAGGTTGGTTACAAGGTGCCGAATACTTCACACTTAGGATCCTATTTCTAAACGTTGATGAATAACTGGTAATTAGACAGTACTTATCGTACATATAAAGGGACTACAGTCATTCTGCAAATCGAGATAATTTGATTTAAATACAATTATTGATGGTCGCCAGCTCCAGTTAATATATAGTAGTGTCAAATGATAAGACGTAAACAAAAAGATAAACTATTTTTTGACTATAGTGCATCGAGTTTAACCAAATTCCAACAATCCGACTAAAATGATTATATTGTCGAATAAGAAGAAGCAAATATTTCTTAATAAAAGAACAATTAAAAAACACAAGCATACAAAGTACCAGGCTCTCAACAAACAGAAGTTTGGAAAGTAAAAATGTACGAAACAGATTCACAAGATACATTGTAAAATGTTTAGATATGGGGAAGAAGATCGAATCTAAAGAAAATATTGAACAGCAATAGTAAATAAAATCTTGCAATCTGTAGTGTATATGGAAAATACATACTGAAATAACCATGAGTTACGACAGAATTCAGCTTGTGAGATGAAATATTATAAACAAAACCTGCTCACAACAATTACGAAGCCTTCGAATAGATAAATAAGAATAAATGTTTACCAACAAATAACTCTCAACCAGTAAAACGACAGCAACCTCGCAATAGTAGTGGGCAATACTTAACAACAAAAATTATGTCAAGCATCGGGTGAGGATAAACCCCATTCCCGTTTGCATCTTTGACCTAGCACCAGGCAGCCAACCGAAGTGGAACGAAGGAAACATAATGCTGAGTCGGCTTCCGGAGAACTTCGTCGGAGCCTCCAGAGGCCCAAAAAGGAGCCGGAGAGACCCAGCCAATCAGAGTACGATGGAACATTCTAGAGTTCTAACGTAGCGAGCTACTATTGGCCGGTAGCATAAAACGTCGTTAATGGATTGGCTGAAATAGGATGTTGATTTAACACACGCTAACATCTATAAATACCTATGATTTTCTGTAACAAGATTGAACCTTGCAGTAAAGTGTTTCTCTCATACTCGTGTCTTCTCTCTGGTGTTCAAGTCGCTGAGTAGTTCTAGCTCGGGGGTACGGAACTAGCTTAGGATCTGAATATAGCGTTCAACTTACATAAGACAAGAAAAGGCATTCTAAATGTAAACTTTCGAGCAATCTTCCTGATAGTCTAAAATATGAAGATTAAAAAACATCTGAATGTATTTTACATGGAGAAAAGTTCACTTTAATGGGACACCAATGTTTATACTTTTAGTCAGTATGAGTTTTATAAGCTAAATGGTAACAGGAATACTATTGGCAGAATAGTATTATATGAATATACTTACCTTGATCAATTCATTTATATCAGTCACTGACCCTGGTGCATTAGAAAGTGAGTGGAATATCTGAGATGAATTGTTCAAACTCAAAATTTCCTCACTCTGTAGGAAACAAAATAAAATGACACAAGTCATACATAAATGTGTTATTTGTGTGGAAAGAGAATAAAACAAGAATTGGTCATTTCTATCACTGACTAAGAAAACAAAGGGAAATAAGAGTATATACACCTGTTCTTTTACATTGTATTTTTATATAGAGAAATACTTCCAACAAGAAAACAGTTAGAAAAAGTCAATTCACGACTACTTTCAACTGTCACTATATTACTTTAAGTCGTATTCTAACAAGGAAACTTGGTTAAATGTGAAGAACAATTGTTGAGGTTAGTCGGATAATAGACGGTGGGACGCGTCGACAATATTTCCTATAAATGCACCAATAACAAGAGTAAATTATTAGTGATAAGATTATTATAAAATAAAACAGCCAAATTCGTATTACTTTTATACACAAATATTTCGTAAACTGTTCCTAAAAATTGTGATATATTCTGAAGAGTGGGAGAATACAGTAATTACAGGAAAACTCTCACAATGTTTGAATAATGGGAAATATGTTGCTACGTTGTTTTAGCATTTTGCAGCTAAATTTTTGAGAATCAATTTTTGTTCGAAGTAATATTCTTTAATAAGCCATACTTTTTAGAATAATAAGCTATTGATAACAACCAGAGTAAATAAGATTGATAAGCTATGATTTTTGAATTCAAATCAAAATCATCTGATACTTGTATAACAATACCCTTGCCTATTTTCAAAATTATACAGAGAACTTTAAAGCTACGGATGAATGGGGTTTGAAAATGCTAGGCTATACAATAAGCGATCGAGAGAAAAGCCGAAGAGCATCGTGATCACACGGAGACATTAAACGTTTCCGATTGGCTTCACGTGAGACATTCCTGCTCACTGCTAAAGTATCTCAGGACAGGATAAAATAACTGTTTTAGTTGTCTTAGGTTTATTATCCTGCCAATGATGATACTTCATTTAAAAATTAGGTGAGCAAGCAATGGAAGGAAGTACGTAATAGTAACGACTACAGAATGCCCTGAGGTCAATGAATTGTCGTACAGACGCATAGGTCTACCATAACACCAATGATTAATTACGAGACAGTGGTATCTTTAGATGGCTACATTTACGATATTCAAAAGCCCGAAGAAGGCTTTATATACAGTGATTTTGAATTAAATATCGCTACAATTGGGATGGTTTGGAAATAATAAGTAGAATTGGAAGAATGAATACATGCATTTTTCCTTTAAAATTGAGCCTGGTAAGTGATCAAGTAAATTACTTTGATCGAAGAATATACATGGCAATAGGTAAGCTAACTTGAGCCAATATGAATATTTTGTTGTACGTATACAGACTCCCCAAATGTCCTGGTACGGCCGAGTGCGGATGGCCCACCCTCTCTCTCGAAATGCTCTCACACGGCCACGCGTATATAGCCTCTGCCACAAAAGTCCTACTCACTGCCTTCTCGCATCACGGGTGTTGTTCACGAAAGTGAGAGGACGAAAAGCGAATGCACGGCGCTTTAACCGCGTTGGTGGACACGGAAAGTCCACCTAGAGGAATTGAAAAATCTTGATTTCAAACCAATGGTGTACATGGGCTCCAGTATCCTGAGGGAACAAATGGCGTATGAACCAATCGTTGGTCACCAGCTACCATGGGACTGCATCCCCTCACGATGCTCCACTGCCTTGTGGATCGGACCTTTAGGTCAAAGGCTCGAGGTGTGGCCCCCTAAGAAAACCACCTGCTTCAGTTTGGGCACTTGGGCAGTATCACAGCCCTCACACAAATCAAATGAGATTTGTGCGGCGCATATGTATCTGGTGCTTCATTGTACCAATATTTATGTGTTTAAATAAATAACATAAATAAATGTACAGACGCCCACTGATCCTTATTTCATAAGTATTCAAAAGGATCGAGTACTCTAAATGAAAAAGATTACAACTACTAATAATTATAGCGATGTAAATGAGCATAAATATCTTTGTATTAGAAGTAGCATATAAGCATAGTCACTGGGTGGTCTTGTTTTTAATTTCAGACCATTCTGAGTCTCAAGTAACTAATTAATGTGAATAGTTATCAATTGGAGAAATAACATCATTGCATTCACCAATTGATTAGGTTTTTATTAATTGATTTTGACAATCGAAAATTTTATTTCACTAATCATCAAAAATCCTTCTTCATAACAGATTCCTATCTGGTTCTTCCATTAATTTAGGATCAATAGGATTCTTTTTGTAGAGAACCGTATTGAATTATTCTACTCTAACCCGAGAATACCTAGAGAAATTGAAGGTTGTCAGGTGACTAAAATCAACATCGTTCAGGTGCAGTACCTAGTGGTTATTGATGATCATGGAGTATAAAGATCGTTCAAGTTGTCAAAAGAGCAAAGAAAAGGACCAAATATTCTCAAGAAATCTAAGGAAATAACAAGACAAGCAAAGTTACCAGGATAGTCATATGTTCGACATTTCTAGCGAGATAAAAACTTGATTCGTAATGGGCCACAGGACATACTAGTTTTACAAAATTATCTTTTTAAATCACAGTGCTGTTTTCAACTACTCTGGTTGTCATTCATAGCCAAAAAAGCAATATGTTGAATTTATTTCTGAAAAATGTTAATTTAGATTACAAATGTTAAGTTCTCTACTTAATGAATGTAGAATACGATAAATGACAAACGATGCTCGAATGCATAGAACCCCACAGTCGCAAATCAGAAGCAGGAGAAATGGTTGTTGGGTAAGAATCAAAAATGTACAGAAAAACATGTAGTCATAGTTACTAGCGTTGGTCGTAACATCATTATAGTTCAGCCAATCAGCAAGGAGACAAGTTATGCTACCGTCCAATCTTAGCATTTCACGCTAATATTCTAGAAAGCTCAACCAAGCTCTGATTAAATGGAAACTCTTGGACTCCTTTAGGACCTCTGGACGCTCCGCCGTGCTTCACGAAAGCCGTCCCAACAACAGTTTGCTACAAGTCCATTTTTGATGTAATAGATGCTTCCCGACTTCTCCTAATTTTTGATCCAACTTAAATTGTTACTATGCATTGAACGCATCATCAACAATGTTCTATTGTCATCGCATGAGATAAGACGTACGAGGTAGTAAGTTGGTAACTGGATATGAAAAAGTAGTATGATAGAAATCTGTAAAGTGAACAGTGAAGCTGATAGGTGAATTATCTAGATATACTTTTAACAGATCAAAAATAGGTTCTGAAAAATAACTTACTACTTTGTATTTAATAAGATACAGCTCGATTATAAATAACGTATATTCTCTGAACACTGACTTACATGGACGATGAACAAATGACACTTTTCTCTTCATTTCACCCAGTCCCAGCTAATGCGAAGATAACACGTGACTAAAGAATTTGTTAGTTTCACAAGAAGTTTGATATAAGTGTACATCTGTTGTATATACGTTGTAGTATCGGTGTTTATGTTAAGCCCATATACTTTATTCTAGTTGTTGGCCAAGCCAATTCACCTTTCCGTTGAGTCATCTTTTGATCTTGTTAATTATTCGCTTACTAAACTTGACTACCTTGTTATATGAGCGCATGTGTATGTACCCTTCTTATCCTACCTATCACATGTCTGTCATTCATTTTTGTCCGACTATAAATGTTGATTAACGCTTGCTTAAATCGAGTTGGCTTCCCAGCCATCTCCATTGCGCATGATCTTTGCTTCGTTCCGCTCTCATCTATTCGCCTCATCACTCTGATTCCCTGGCCAGACCAATGAGTGTAGAAATTATATGTATTCTAAATCCATTCTCGTATTTGACGTATTTAACTCCGTTGTTCACCAACGCGGATAAAGTCATTTATTACATACGAGTATAGACAGAATCAGATTTACGCTACAACAACGTATATCTGAAGTTTCCATAAGATTAGGGTAACATATCAGTGAACTAAGATATCCGCAAGCCAATAGGAAGAAATAGTGGCTTTAAGAGCGGTAAAAACGAAGGATATATAGCGTAGGAAGAATTGTCGAGAAAACCGCTGAATTTAAATGTGCACAAAACAAATTATAAAAAAATAAGCCTTAGAAGTTGTTGTTGAGAAGTTAGAAGTCCCCAAAATAATAGGAAAAAGAAAATAAAGACGATGAGATTACAATGTTTTTTGGAATGATAAGGTAATGTTTAATATCCACTAGAGATAGTCTGACCTTGACAAAGTATTTATTTTTATGATTTGATAGATAATCAGATACGGATTATTCTCGTGGTGATGTTCTTTTGGTTAACGTCATATCAGGATTGTCTTAGCACTCATGAATTAACTTTAGACAATCACAAAATATATTTCTTCACTCAGCAAGGACTTGTAAGCCGAACGGATGTCTTAAGTAAGATGTTACAATTGTATTATCTGTTACTGTTTTCGACAATTTACCACATCTCAAGTTTTGTTCATTTTGACAATTCAACTTAAGTACTGAGTACTGACTGAAAATAAATGTTAGATGCATTTTACATATAACACTGAAGCCAAAAAATTAAACCAAATTATATATATATATATATATATATATATATATATATATATATATATATATATATATAGTTTGTAAGTATAATCTGTACATACTTTGTGGGATAAAAGTGCAAGGGCGATGCGAAACAGAATGACTGAACCATCATAAAATAATAAATCCCATATTCGAAATGTTAGGGCTGTAGGACATACACTTGAATACAGTGTGAGAAACCATTGAAGCGTAATGAGCGGTAGACCTGTGTCCACAGTGTGAGAGGGAAAGAAAGGAAAACAAGTTAACAAATGTTTGAAATAATCATGATGCTTACACGATCAGCTTGGTTTAACTATTAAGTTAAAAGGATCAACTTGGAAAAACTATTTGATAATTCCGAGTTGTTTCATTTTTTTACAAAAATGTAAATGTACCTGATATGGAAAGCCAATCAGAAGTAGCAAAAGGTTAATCGATGGTAATCAAAAGTGACCCAAAGGTCAAATGTATTTCATTCGGTAGTCCAAAATACTTTATCGCTCAAGTAGTCAGTTGGGGGGTTAGCGCATAGCATACCGCGTATCAGTATCAGATTTTGGACTCCGTACGTCACAACAGTACCTACAAGATTGGTTGGTCCTTTGGGCTTATTTGTCTGCCTGGAAGAGATTATATGAAACACAACTGACGGTGGCTTGATTTAAGATATGGTAACGTTTAGTAGGACTGGTAAAAGCATCAGAACATAACAGACAATAATGTACTGATAGAATCTAAAAGACTAGTTGTTACAAACTTTTTGTATAGAAAGTTTTACTCGTCTGGTGCGATCACAAAAAAGATTTTAAATATTGTAGAAAAGTTTGAATTCCTGTTTAACAGGAGCTTTCAACAAAGTGATTGGTACAAACGTTTTTGTGATATCCCTACTTTCCTCTCTAACATTTAAAGTACAGCCACAGTCAATGAGAATATCATTCGTAAATAACTTAACGCACCAGGCCGTTAAATAAATATATGATTTCGTCTATAAGGTATCACGTTTTTTCATTTACAAAAGCAATCGAAATTCACCAGCCTGTGCAAGTAGGTGATTGATTCCTTGAACTCCGTGACAGGATACCATGTAACGATCACCATGTCTCGATTTATATAACAAAATAACTAAGGCTATTTATTTTATACTAAAAATAGTGAGCACACATACAAAGGAAAATAAGAAAATAAAAATCAAGGTTTCGATCAATAAAAAATGGCTAGAAAATATATTTTGATGGCACATTTGGTGGTTTAGCATTCATGTTGATTCTTGTGTATATTCTGGAGTTGATAAACAATATCACGAAAAACGATGAGTCAACCAATATATATATATATATATATATATATATATATATATATATATATATATATATATGACACAATAAGCTTTCTTGAAAAATACAAGACGTGTCTTAACGTTGAAACAGTAATGCATTATTGCTTTCACAAACAGTTTAGTCTGAAGACGGGTTTCTCTTCTATGGAAAAAATAATAACTGTAAAATTGATATCGATTTCTCATTTTATTGTTCAAGCACTTGGTTAACAGAAAAGATTGCATAATAGTAGGAATTATATTATTACTAATAACTGTCTTGCATCTTTTACTATTAGATACAAAGATTAGCTCAACACCTATAAATTAGATGCTATGTATGAAAAAAATTGAGAATCTGTTCACGACATTTATATGTCAATATTTGCATAATGCATTATAAACAATGAGCATTTCGCTTACTTATTTCATATTCTTTTAAATGTGCGTCTAATTCTGGTAGATAGAATGGAAGTAAATGATTCAGTACAAGTTGGTCAGATTGTACACCCAATAAACTAAGTGACGAAAAATATGACGGTGGTAGAAGATCCTCAATAATACTGCACATCATCCAAAAAGCTGTTTCTTCTTCTAAGCATAATAATAGATTTGCAACTATCTATTGTATGCATAGAACGTCGGTGAAAAAAATGAAATGAAAATTCAGGTTAATTTGTTGTGGTTAAGGAAATCGAAAGAATTTTAATAGCTGAGAACATGAGTCAATTGAAGCTAGACCACCATGGAAAACCTGGAATCACTGGACGGCCGTTTTGTCCCATTGTGGGACGCTTCAGCAGTACAAAATGTTCACACAAATCTTGGTGTCGTCGGGTTAGATGAATGTTATGCAATAGACATGCACATATGGAAAAATGTGATAAAATCAGGTTACGTTAGAAGTCGTGTTTTGATGAATGAGTGAGGTACTAATGGCCTAAAAGATTGAGTAGGGGCCACCATGTTTGTTCGTGTTAAGTTTTAATTACTATTCTTGAAAAAATATGGCTTCTGGGCCCAGGTGATAAAATTCAAATAGTTATTTCTACTGCTTGTTGATAACTACTTGCAAATTAGCTTCCGGATATACTGATCACTATTAGGCGAATTTTAAGAAATTGTAGCCCTATATTGCGGAGCTCCTTAGAAAAGCTTCCTACCATAAAGGTTAGACTGATAGCCTTTAGGCCTACTGATAGTTAAAGTGAGTTTATGTCGTCAGATCATGCTTCACTGACCTGCTTAAACATCTGGGCTACCTGTTTCCCGTCATCTATATATTTCAACAAGTTATCTAATATTGTTTGTTTTAATACATCATTATGGCTATTAAGCACACAACCTATTCCGGTGCGTTTCTTAAAACTGTACAACCTTTCGCTGTAAAGGTTACAAAAGGCCTAATCAGAGATGTGTTTGCTGGGAACATGCAGAAAAAAGAATATACATTATTCATATGTCGATTGACTGAACTGCTGACATCCAACTAGCGATCACTGAATGTTTATCATCAGGAGCAACGAATAAATAAGAAACGTAAACATGTTGAAATACTTTATGCTGAGAATTCGATTTTGTACCAATTAGTATAATATTGAATAAAGCTAATAATAATAATAATAATAATTCGTGAAACTTTGCCACTAAGGTTCGGCATGTTTATGTGCGATTTTACGACATCAATGTTTGTCATAATGACTATTAGTATGGAGGCAGTGGGGGCGCTACGTAAAAGGTATGTAGCAAGCCCATTCAACTACTGTATTGTTTGTGTGCTCTCTGTAGTCTTAACATTTAATCCATTGTAAATTTATGTGTGAGTCTGATTGAGCGCATGTGTCTGCACATCAATGCTTATTCTGTTCTCTCATTGGTTGTAAACAAAGACAATCAATAATTTATCCACAACTCATTAACACTCAAAAATATATATGTATTTTTAACACACACACACACACACTTGTTTTCCCTGTGTGCTTGCTATCTGTACGCTTGCGGATTTTTACCAAGCTTCAACAATAAACTATCTCTATAACTGGTGTTCAGGCTTTTGAATAATCTCGAGTAGACCTGTAATTCTACTAGATTTAGCCTGCAGTAAATATTCAGTTAGCGGGATACTATTTATTGGAGTCAGATATAGAGGAATTAATCCTCTACAGGTATACCATTAAATATAGCAACACTCTTGAAGCAATTATAATTGACCTCACTTCTTTTCCCTTATATTACAGGACACTGTGAAACAAATTTCTAGGTTACAGGCGAATAAATTCCCCCACTTAGTTCAAGCTTACGTTTATTAAAAACCGAGGTAATAATAGTCCAGTTTATACTATAATGAAGATAAAACTAGTTCGTTTACAGGAAGCAGAAAAAGTTAGTGAAAAATGCTAAAATCAATAGTTAAAATTTTTTTTTCGAAAAATTGATAAAGCAGTGGTAGATATGCTTTAGTCAATAAGGTCACGTAGCTAATATATAATCCCAATATATAGTAAAAAGGAAAAACAGAAGAGACTTGTATGGATAAATAACAAATGTTGGTAATATGAGATAAGTAGTAGCACAGCATAATTTAGAATGGGACTTGGTGTTAAGGTATTCTAACAGTTGTTTATTATGGTGTTCGACTGTTTTTTTATGCCGAATATTTATGTTTTTATTACTAGATCTGCTGGGTTAAGTAGTTGGGTCTGATCAATCTTGGTTTTCAGTAAATTGACGAGTTACCCCTTGAAAGACGATATTGCATGTTGGATTTTGATATCAAAATCATATAGTGTGTCTTTTTGTTAAGAGACAAATAATTGCAGCCACTATTGATATTATTATACCGAAAAGTCTTAGGTACAACTGACTTCCCACTAACAGTAAATTTTCTACTTTGTTTACCATAGAGGTTTTCTTGGTGCCTTACAATACGAAGCTTTTTGTCTGAATATTTATTAATCAAGCTTTTTTGATGGAGAAGGAAACTTAAACAACGAACCGTTTTGGTTTATTGACTTACTAATCCCATGCCTTGACAATATCCTACATCCACGTACAACCAAGCTAGAGCACGCAAAACTCGACGCAGTCGTGAAATACCAGTAGAATTTGAGGAATGGAAGCATAGATTATTTGGCATTGTGCGGAAAAGATCCTAGAACACAAAAGAAATAAGATGGTGAAGTGAGAAGTAATCATATTTTACTGAAATTTTATTTTGTTTTGTTCTGTTATGACGTCGTCGCTAATTGTTGTGTCGGAATCGCCTATTACTTATACATTGAAAACAACGAACCAATGCATATTTAATGAGTAGTGATAAATGATTTAACTGAGTTTCGACTAATTGTTTTTCCTTTTACGAGATAGAACCCTGTCAACAATAAACGAAGTTATCATCCATTAAATGTGATAACAAAAGTTGACAATAAAAAGCAATACTGATGGATTTGTAGTTTCGAGGTTCTGAAGAAAACTTTCTAGTGTAGATTGGAGATAAAGCAATTTTACATTACATTTATTTCAAAGTGGAATGTTTGAATAGTTTAATACAAATAGTTACTGTTCTAATGAACTACTGTTATCATCGAACAGGGTGGCGATGCTAATCAAAAATCTAAACACAAGGATCGGGGGCGAAGCGTGCAGTTTTTACTTGTTTTTCCAACTATGAATTATGCATATCTATAAGAACTCTAAAAGCTAGTTACATATTTATTTATACAAAGGACAGTTCTGTTATGCACTCCAATAAACTAATCTGACCATCTAACTGTGATACGAAAATCGGACTTGGTTTAATTCCTTATAAAATCGGTAGCCAAAAACTGAGTAGTAAACCATAGAGACATGATGCCGATCTTTTCACATGCTTGGTTCTATATATTTCATTCGATAAAGAGGACATTAGGATGTACATATGACTGTTTGTATATATTTAGATTTCAAATACTAAAACTAGTTTCACTATAAAGTTTGACAGAGATCAAACAAAATTAAAGTACGTAAAGAATTGCATTTACCAAGTAAACTGTATGGGAATATTTTCCAATTGATATGAACAATGCATATTTAACATACAATCCGTTTTCTTTTTCTACTTATTATTATGAACTTCATTAATGTAATACAATTATTCGGCGAGACTATAATTTATGGACGAATCAATTACATTTACGATAACAGGTCTTGGATTTAGGCGCGAAATTCTTTATCCATTTGGCTAAATAGCGTCTTGGTATTTAAGCTGATGTCAGTTAGTGATAAAACCCTAAATCTAATCCCTATTCCTAACCATCAACTGTAAATCACAATCCTTATGCTTCACACAGGTTTAAAACCCTCATTTAGCCCTAGCCAGTAGGTGGGCATTCTAAAGACCACTTTAGCGTCGCGACAAAGGTCGTCCATAAATTATAGTCTCAACAATTATTCAATAAGTAAATACTGCGGAATTAACGAACAACTTGCTTATAAATAAGTTAAAAGTGACATAACAATTACGCAACCTTTTCAATTTGAATTCCGGCCAAAAGTGTGTCTGTAGAGCTGAGTTGAACTAACTCAGTATATGTGACCGAAGGGATTCGTTGTTTAGATTCTTTTGCCTTTAATAATGCTCCTGTTAGTCTGGGCCATACATGAGGTCGAAGAGAATGAGGAATCCCAAGTTGTTCACCAGATTTAGCAAGGGCTTCTACATCTAAGGCCTGTCCTCGAATAAGTTCTGTTAGTCTGGGTGACTGAACTAAACGTAAGTTTACTCTTGACCATAATTGATCATCATCTTCATCGACGGTAGATCCAACTGAACTATATCTGGCATCGTATTCGTCTAGACTTGATATACCCAGTGTATGAGTATGAGAGAATTCCAAGCAGGTCAACCAAGCACGTCGATTAGCAGATGATTCGATGAATGGGCATGGAAGATTCTCTTCTATATAAAACATAAAATAATGACAGAACCTATTATATATATATGGGGACGGACACAATACAATATCCTCTGCAGTTCTGTTTACGGAAATAAGTTTTGATATCTAGTCGTTGAAAAATATCACATCATTCCACAAGCAACGGACATTATTACTGTTATTCTAACATCTAGACAACAGATTATATCTTCCACATATATGAAAAACAGGAGTAGTTAACATCAACCTGAGAGAGAACTTCAAAAATAGGATTATGTTTATAATCACTAAAACTAAACTTGAAATACATTTTGACTAGTTGAGCATTAATGGTATGAACCATGGCGAATTAGACCGAATTGAACATTGTACTTAAAAGAATTCGTCAGATGCATGCTTTCTGATTTAATATTTTTTCGTTTTTGCTGATCGATTTCCCTTCTGGTGTTACGCTGTATGGTGGCTTGAATTTACGCATGTATGTATGATGTGCTCTTATTCGACTGCTCTGCCCATGAAGTTTTGATATTACACATGATTTGGTTCTGTATATCTGTATCAAGGATGAATATACACATCTTATTCAGAAATATAAATTATTTTTACCTGGTTCACTTTTAAATATTAAATTTCCTTATGAGAAATAAGGCAAAACAAAGTTTAACAATTAAGAATTATAGTGAATGGCCACTAAGTGAAAAAGACCTACATAAAATGATAACACAAACCAGCAAAAGTAATAATAAAAAATTTTAATACAAGTAAAACTGAATGATTCTTCTAATTACGTGCTAGTTATAAGACAAGTTATTTAAAACATGAATTTAGTCACAATTTGTTATAGACTCTACTTTGTACATATTCCAGCTTTTCGTTTATTAGATCAGGAATTGATAATAACTTTGGAGAAGGGACAAGGCATGGAAAGTCAATTTTTCTCCCAATTACGTAAAATTAATTATGACTGTCAGAAATAGATAAACAAGCGAAATGCACACCAAAAAAGTGTTAGGAAACCACTCAATGAAAAAATATTCCATCAGAGTGAGCGGAATTAAAATCAATAATAATTGTCTGATTGTACATGAGAAATCGTTATATCTATGTACACCACCATATTTTTATGGTAAGAAACATGTACATATTATTTACATTATTTCTTAGTTCGAAGGAAACTTGTTATTCCCTCTTAGTATAACATATAAAGTAACTACATTAAAAATGATAGCATTCTTCACTAGTTTCGTAGTATGCGAGGATGAAGGCTAAAAAACATTTAGCTCGACATATTTTCCACAAGACATCATTCATGACCACAAATTTGATTTAACGCCATCTCGAGACACTCTACAAAAGCCATGAGGCAGACGACTCTCTCACAAACAACAACAATACGCATAGCAATATGGATTGTATGAACAATGAGGCAGACCGGTAGTATCAGTCGAATAGCTGTAGAAATGAGAAAATAAAGGCTGATCAGATCATGTTTAGGATAAATGAGACTCGTTAGACACAATCTGAGAAGAAAAGACTAACTTCAAAAGAGAAGTTGTTGTTTTCTGATTATCAAGGAGAAGATTCTCCACATACAAACAACGACACTGACCCTCTCCAGAGAACCACAAAATCCACTAATGGAATGAGAGATCCACGTATCCAACATCAGAAACAAACAAGCAAAATTTGCCACGAGTGTCATTCAACACTATACACTCATTAATGATCGAAGTTGTGATAAGGGTCAGTTTCGTGATGGCCTGGAGTTTATCACAAAGATATGTGTAGAATAACATTTGACTATCCTTATGGCAGACGTAAACGTCAAAGTTGGGATGGACGACATTTCAGAAATGGTAAATCTCACTAACTCTTTACACTAGGTAGGTGAGGTCAAGTAAATGATCACGCTACGATCCTGAATGTGTCGCCCGATCCCACATATGGTCTGAACACAGTAAGCTCCAACAAGTAGTTCGAAGTGCGGCTCTAGTAAGCCTGGGATAGAACTTAGTGAATTCGAATCATTAGTACGTATGAAAGTAACCGAAGACTGAAGATGAGGGTTAGAAGTGAAAACAGAAGAAATTCCATGGGGTAAATGAGAGTTTTAAATGTAAACTGATCTTGAGTGGCGTTAATTGTCAATACCCTGGAAGGATTGTCCCTTGAAATATTGAAGAAAAATTAAATCAAAGATATATAGCGGATACCTGCAACGGATTGTTCAATTTTTAATTCATCTGGGTTCTATTCTTGTTTGGAAGCATCAATAAATGTTAGGATAAGTGGCGCCAATTAGTTGATTAGAGCCTCGAAATCATCTTTCTATTGCGTTGTTCGTTTTAGAAACATCTTACCAAAAACGGTACATTTAGAAGTGAATCGAAACGGTCTCTCTCTTCATTCTTTGTGTTCAATGGTGACGCAGTTGGACAACCAAAGGCAATTACAGTATCGACCCGATTAAAGCTAATCCTGTCAACTAACTGGTCCTTGTTGAGGGTTTGCTGATAGCTGTAGTCATCACTCTACATATTGTGCTGCATTAGGATACAATAGTTGAAATGCCGACAAAACTGAACGTTCCTATTCAGTCATGATAGTTGGTGGATTCAAAGTTGAGATTTGTTCGCTTAGGATGTGGGTATAGAAATTCGTACTCTTATAGTTTATTAAAATGTAAACCAAGGGAATAATCACATAATTTCATAGTATAAACTTTATAGATTTGACTAAATGAAACGGAGGGGGAGAATCTTTAGATGGTCCATTGGAATACCGATAAGAAAACTACTACAGTTACAGATTTTGAGTTTCAGAAAGGACTGAAATTCGCTTTCCATCCAGTGTATTGTCATGTAGAGAGAAATTCTCCCCTCTCAGTCCTGTATTTAGACATCACGCTTGGTGAATCTAGTGTACTTGGATTACGAAAGGAAGTCTGATGGTCGTGTCGTTTGCGATGAATAATCTACTTTCTTAGAATCACGGATGGGAGTTAGACTGACAGATACTGTAGCTGAGACTTGACGTGTCGTTTCCGTTTATAAAACTGATCGATTTTTTATTCTGCCTTTTACTTTTTCGCATCTACCTTCGCTTTATCTGTAACATAATTGTTTTGTTCGCCGTTTTGCAGTAGTTACATTTCTTATAACAGAGTGATCTGTGTTTCCCAGCACGGTATCCCAAATCTTGTCATTATTGCTACCTTTTTGAAGGTGCAGCTATCCAGTATTAAAAGGCTACTAATCTTGTCACTTTATGTATTCTAGTTTTATTGAGATAGTACACAAAGAAACATAATCCGAGATGTAGTCAAATACATCTATGTATAATCGTAGTTTCGAACTCAAATCAAACAATTTATTTGAAAACATGCGTATACTATTTTATTTTATACACAGTAACTGGCTACAATTAATTAATCGTAATTAATTTCAATATCCTCACACTTCATTTCATTTGCAGTTGTACTTAATATCTGAATCCCTATAAAACGAAGTGCAAGGTGCTTTTCATTCGTTCGGTTTTATCGATATGGACCCCTTCTGGTGTTTGCTCTTGATTATTTATTTATTTAAACACATATATATTGGTACAAAAGGGCACCAGACACATATGCGCTACACAAAATAGTGAAAGTAGGAAGAGAAGGGATGAAAAGATAAGGCGGACTGAAATGTACAACCAGACGAACTTTCAGTTAAGAAAGTTAGAACCACTCTTTATGAAGAAAGTAAAAGGAGGTTACAGCACGATCGCCACTGGCTTCTATTCTGAGCCATATCTGATAACGTCTCTAGCCACTGTGTTGCACCATCTCTCGGACCCCAGCCAGGGAGTCGTGAAGGACCAACAGAAGCTAGCCCTTTGCAGCTTTCTTTCATGCCACGACACCATGTCATACACTGACCTCTTCTCCGCTTTTTCCAACCAGTCCCAGAGTCGGCAAATAATGCATGGCGTGGAAGTCTCTGGGACGACATTCGTAAAACATGTCCAAGCCACCGAAGTCAGTGTTTCAAGATGGTGACACCAATTGAATTATCGTCTCGGCGCCCGAACACACGATGCCGAACCTCTGCATTACTAACATGGTGTTGCCACTGGATGTCAGCAATCCTTCGGAGACAACGATGATTGAACACAGAGAGACGTCTAACATCCTCAACTCGGAGAGGCCAGGTTTCACAAGCATAGAGCAAAACTGCTTTCACTGACGCGTTGTAAATCCGACCTTTTACAGCCAGACTAACATCACGAAGGCGCCAAAGATGGCCCAGATTGGCATAAGCCGCTCTGGCTTTCCTTATACGTGCATCAATCTCATCACTCACGCCACCACCAGCACTTATATAGCTACCTAGATACACGAACTTCTCAACTACTTCAATCTGCTCACCATCCAGGGTGATTACAGGATGAGAATCCTGCCAGTCTTGTAGGAGTACTTTGCACTTGGAGGGTGCAAAGCACATGCCGTACCTGCGGAAACTGATTGCCAAGTGATTAAGTGCGGATTGCATGCTTTGGGCATTATCGCACAGTAAGACAATATCATCCGCATACTCGAGGTCGAGAAGTCGTTCTCCAGGCAACATATCCAATTAATTAACATTAACAATCAATTAACATTACTGTTATTATCTCTCTTAATGAGCTATATAAAACGGGATAAATAAAGTGTATGGGAATGATTTACACAAAATACTACCTAGATCATCTATTCGAAATCCAAATTCATCAAAGTAGCGCTTGACTAAACTTGGGACGTTTGATTCTGATGTAACTTGGTCATCCAGTTGTCTATATACACATGACGGTATGAGTGAAGGGACAAGAGCAGAGAATGACAATATTTCGGTCAGCTCCTTCCTATGGATTGGCATATCGAGTAAATTTTCGATTGAATTGTTTCGGAGCACTTGATTTTTATTTATTTCTGATTGCCCATTCAAATCTGATCTTGAGTATTGCAGGTTATCTTTTGAATCTTTAAGAAAAGAACCGGATAGATGACTAGTTAAAATGAAAATTACGTGAAAAGCATCGTGGAAATACGCTAAAATATGATGGACACCAGAGAAGAACACAAAATCAATTTAAATGTTAAGGCGGAATAAAGTATCCAAGACAAAGTGATTTTGATTTCAACAAATAATCTCTACTATTCTCTGAAAAATTTAAGTTTGTCTGTCATAACATCACTTAATACTAACCTAAAATTGAATAGTCTATTACGTAATTAAGTTGAAGCTTTTATGGCGTTTGGGTTTTGTAAATATAAGGAGCATTGTTGAGACTATAATTTATGGACTTTTGAACAACGCTAAAGTGATCTTCAGAATGTCCATTTATTAACGAGGATTTATTGAGGGTTATAAACCAGTATGAGTTAGAATTATGATTTGCAGTTGGTTAGGAACTACATTTAAGGATTTTATCGCGAACCTTACTTACTTACGCCTGTTACCCCTCATGGAGGAGCATAGGCTGCCCACTAGTATTCTCAATCCAACCCTGGGCAATCTTTTCCAGTTGTTATTCATCTTTTTCATATCTGCTTCTATTTCCGCGCGTAATGTATTCTTTGGCCTTCCTCTTTTCCGCTTCCATTCACCATTCCAAGTTACGGCTTGCCTCGTGATGCAGTTTGGTAATTTTCTTATTGTGTGTCCGATCCATCCCTAACGTCTTTCCTTAATTTCCTCTTCAACTGGAAGCTGGTTTGCCGTCTCCCATAAAAGGCTGTTGCTGAAGGTATCCGGCCAGTGAATGTTGAGTATTCTGCGTAGACAACTGTTTATAAATACGTGTACCTTCTTGACGATGGTTTTAGTAGTTCTCCACGTTTTAGCTCCGCACAGTAATACTATATTGACGTCCCGAAGAGGCACCACCTAAAATGCCAAAAAGCTATATAACCAAATCGATGAATTTCACGCCAAAATCCAAGGCCTGTTGTTTTATATTTCACTGGTTTGTACATAAATCATGATCTCGCCTTAGGAGCTGTAAAAGTTCGAAGGTAGAGTATGAAGGTAGTCGCGGATATATATCTGGTGCCCCATTGTACCAATATTTATGTTAAGTAAATAAATGAAAGTAGTGCTAAGGATCATTACTGGTCATAACCAGTATAAACAGATACACTGAAGGCTTCAATCAGCCATTCACATACTATACTAATAACAGCCTTTGTATATCATTGTCAATCATCAACTGTAGTTGTCATATGATTTAGACGCTAAACTTGAAGGTGACGTCCTGGTCAGTCTATCGTGCAAAATGGTACAGTGTGGTCACCAGACCTGAACTTTAAACACCTCACATTCATTAAGTCTAGGTGAACAACAAGTAGAACCGAACAGTTGACTATGGGCTCAATATTTACCATCCCTTAAAATAACTATACACGAGGGATCATATATCTAAGCTTCAAGCAAACTATTAATACTCCTTAGAAAAGAAATACATGGTTCAAGAGTAATAAAATCAGTGGAGAACGTAACACAGAGTTAAAATTAGTTGCAAAAGCCTATAGTACAGGTCTAGGATAGAAAACAATATTTAAGTAGGTTGGTCTACTAAAGACGCTGTCACTTAGATGTTACGTAATTTCATGCAAATAATGAACTTTTAATTTTTAGCCTAAAAAGCAACTGGGATACTAACCACTTTCTCGAAAATCACAGCTTTCGCTGGGCATTTATCTCTGCTATCCGACTTTCGGTGACCTCAGCAAACCAAACAACACGGACGTTTTTAGGAATGCAAAACTTATGCGCTTAAACAAGGAGAATTTCAGTCTAATGTATTAGTGACTTAAACATCAACAAATCTAAGGAAAGGTTTGGAATTCGAACTTGCCGAGAAATTGTATAGATTTTTATTGTGACTTGATTACCTGTTCACCAAACAGAATTCAGTATTGATTCTGTATCGTTATGACAATCTATTATGTAACTCACCTACGTTATACTCCAGCATTGTTATTAAGTGCAGTTCCAGAACCCTCATAGCATCCGCTGGGGTTTGTCGTACCACTTCTGCTCGCTTCTTATAGTAAATTCACCAAGTTGTTCGTTTAAAATGAATACCCAACTGTTAGCAGAAATGAGCAGTGTGTGAGCGTTGGGGAAATAAATGGCAGAAACCTAGCTCTCAAAAAGACTAAAATTCCGGACGACGACACTATACAAAATTTTCTCACTTTATTTGATGTTTAGGCGTCGGAGAGTAGCTTATTCGAATTTAGGACAGTCTTTGAAAGGAAACAGTAGGAAAAATATCATGCAATTCTGAGAAAAGACACAACTTCAACCAAGCTATCCGGCCTGTGAAACGGCGAACACAACAAAAGTTAAAACCACTTAATTAATAGAAACTTTGTATTTGACACACGTTACAGCAGACCCTGTTATATCCGTTACTACTTCCTATCTTTCTTATTATCAATTCTGTTTCCCCTCCTATTCTTTTACTTTTGTCTTCTCAAATTGCCTGCATTACCAACCAATTTATTCGTTTATTCCTCGAAATAATCATCACCTAGTACTTTATTATTTTCATATTGCTAACAGCCCACCACCTGAATGTTGGTGTTGTAAGATCATCTACGTTGATGATCTATGTCGAAATGATTGGGGGTCTACTATAGTTAGACGAGAATGGTGACGAACCAACTAACGCTGAAGTCACACTTCGCGACCAACCCTTACGTGGATTGAACCATCGACGCATCAAAGGATCATGGACGCTATGGAGACTGTACAACACAAAGGACGTTATTACGAGAATATATTAGTTAAGGTACAACCACTAAAGTACAGAAGTGAAAGAACAACCACTGCCGCGTGGGCCAGTCCATGGCGTGTAATTGATTGATGCGCGTTGACTATCCTTGACTTTGACAGGGATCAATGATCTGTCCGATATTCAGTGACCCTACAGTGTGATAGTCGCCCATGTTCGGAAACCCTAATGCCCTGTGACAAACGTACTCACTAACACTACAAAATATACAAATTCACAAATAACTACAAAAATGACATGGATTACTGCAGTCAAGTGGTTAGACTACTGAAGATACGACCGGATTGTAGTTTTACAAGTAGTTTTACCAGTAAAACATTCTATACTCGAATCATCCCCAAACTAGTTAAAACCAGAAGTCAGATGCGAAGAGATCGGAAAGATATATTTGATTCGTTATCAATATATTGAGAAGCGTTTACTCTAATCTGACTAATGAACGTAGGAGCTGTGCCCCACTCTGGTTCGTAACGTCATCTGGTACAGATGCATGACCGAACGCCTTCAGTTAAACAAGTCCACTTAAACAAATATGGTCAGCGTTCAATGTGGAACACTTAAAGAGCAATTGATTTTGGGGAATTATTTACAGCTACACTGCCAATCATTGAACATCGTCAATATACCTGAAACTGCATCGAAACAACAAAAAGCGAGTGGAAAAATGTTTGTCGGTTTGTCCAAGCTCATGTTAGAGTTAGTGGATATTGGATATATTGTGATTGGAGCTAAAAGGCCTGTCTAAAGGAAATGAGGCATTCATTATTTCATCCTTAAATAATCATTCTTTTAACCACATAACGATATTGGTGAGAGAATTACGGGATTTAGAGGCGGATATCATTCTCAGGCTTACATGAAATCTAAAAGTATAAAAATTCAATGGATCACATGCACTTGGATCGTACGAACCCTGTCTATCATGGTACAGAATTTTCGGAGTTGGATGGTCTGTGACATTCGTTCACAATCTTTTTATTCGAAGAGTATTAAGGTGGTTGTTACGAGCGTCTAGATTATGCCAAAAGATAGTTTCTGTGCAGGTGCTTAAGATGTCAGAATGTTTTGCCGTCATTATAATATTACAATATGTTTATTGCGCATATTCTGAGGAAGCCAAAGCTAAATCACTAAGTGTTGACTGGCGCCCTGGTATACGGCTGGAAATCAGAGTTGTTCCCCCATTATTTTGTTCAGGCATTACGTTTCCTAATCTCTGCTATCGAATGATGAAAAGCCCATATTCCACTAGAGCCTGGTGCTGTGTAATAAAGGTTACGGAAAGAACATCGAAATCTTCTGATTTCACTTAATAATGAGAGTGTAAAGGTTGATCCTAACAGATTGGTTGTTGCTGACGAAGTATCTACTTTCAAATTGAGGGCAAAATACATCAAAGTTAACTATCCTCAATGGCAATAAGAGAACAAACGAATGTATAACGACAGAATAATCAGTTTTATTCAGCGATCAGCAAATATCGTTTGAACTTCTGCTGGGTACTCTCATAGACCCTGAAAATCAGTCAGTGAAAGATACAATACTAGCTACTACCAGGGCCACGAATACAGAACTTTTTACACTGAAGAAGGTAAGTTAGGCCAACCGAAAAAGTCAACTGGTATCAACGCTTCTACTTCATTGATATATAACTTCCTGAAGCTTTTTTGTCTGTTCTCACGATTTTCAGTAGTCAATACAATAATGCAATAAGTAGTGCAGATAGACGGCTTCTTGGGTTATTTCAATCACCTTCTTGAAAAAATAGGAGAAAACTATCCATCTACCGATCATTTTAAGGTTACCGAAAGATTATGAAGTGATTAACTTGGTGACTATGCAGCTGTAAATAATTCCCCAAAATCAATGGCTCTTTAAGTGTTCCACATTGAACGCTGACCATATTTGTTTAAGTGGACTTGTTTAACTGAAGGCGTTCGGTCATGCATCTGTACCAGATGACGTTACGAACCAGAGTGGGGCACAGCTCCTACGTTCATTAGTCAGATTAGAGTAAACGCTTCTCGATTTATTGATAACGAATCAAATGTATCTTTCCGATCGCAGGCAGTTCTCGTCTCGTTTCAAAACAACGCCGTAGACGAACTAGATGCATCTGCCGATCGAATTCTAGAGATTACCTAATTCACTAGTGTCGAGGTCTTTTTAGTCAAAGAAAAAGCCTCAAACCCCGGATGACATCTCGAAATTATGTCATACTCTCACACGCTACCTTCGATCTCGCAATGATCGTAGTCTGTTAAGAAGTGCGCGAAGAAGCGTTTCACGTAGGCGATATGTCCCTCGACCACGAGAGACAAATAATCCCGACTGCCTGCCCCCGTTAACGGCAACCGTAGCAGGCGAACATAGCCGCCTCTTATACGTCACAGATGTGACAACGAAAGTTCGCTACCTCGTTGACAGCGATGCAGGAGCTAGCGTTCTTACAGCAAATCCCAACGACAGACTTCACGAGTCTGTTTTAAGTTTGCAGGCGGCGAACGGAAAAGCGATCGCTACATATGGTAAAAGGTACGTTTACCTTAACGTGGGTTTACACAAACCCATACACTGGCTTTTCGTTGTTGCAGATGTTTCTATGCCAATCATTGGTATAGACCTGTTACAATACCACAATCTACTCATCGACACACGCTCACGAATGTTAATAGACGGAAACACTAAGTTATCTAAAGCAATTAGTCCCTTTGATAAATTTCGATAATGTAATGAGAAGACGAAGATTATCAGAACTATGTGATATATTAGCGTAATACATTTCGAACAATCTGATCACACATATACTTGTTAAGAACATTTATATATAAAAACAAAAGGTCAACTAGACTGGAAATAGGGGTAAGAATAGACAAGGATAATAATGATAAAATAATGTGAAAACAGTTTGACACCTAATCACTCTGGATAATAAGCCTATATTACCAGGGTGGGTTTAAAGAGAGGACAAACTGTTTTTGAATACACAAAGGGGGTTTGAATTTTCGTATGGCTAAGGCTACAGTAAACCTTAGTATACGCCCTTTTACACTTTTAAACAACACCACAAAAGCCGAGTTTAGATCAATTTTATGACCTGTTTCGATTATATGTTTAGCAATAGAGGATGATGGATGTTTATCCTATACTCTTATTAAGTCATTCGACTGTATTTGTTTTTGCAACCATTTTGGTACATGTTCACCCACCCTAATTTTCAAATCACATGCATAGGGAGGAGCAATCGTGATCTGAAAATTAGGGTGGGTGAACATGTACCAAAATGGTTGCAAAAACAAATACAGTCGAATGACTTAATAAGAGTATAGGATAAACATCCATCATCCTCTATTGCTAAACATATAATCGAAACAGGTCATAAAATTGATCTAAACTCGGCTTTTGTGGTGTTGTTTAAAAGTGTAAAAGGGCGTATACTAAGGTTTACTGTAGCCTTAGCCATACGAAAATTCAAACCCCCTTTGTGTATTCAAAAACAGTTTGTCCTCTCTTTAAACCCACCCTGGTAATATAGACTTATTATCCAGAGTGATTAGGTGTCAAACTGTTTTCACATTATTTTATCATTATTATCCTTGTCTATTCTTACCCCTATTTCCAGTCTAGTTGACCTTTTGTTTTTATATATAAATGTTCTTAACAAGTATATGTGTGATCAGATTGTTCGAAATGTATTACGCTAATATATCACATAGTTCTGATAATCTTCGTCTTCTCATTACATTATCGAAATTTATCAAAGGGACTAATTGCTTTAGATAACTTAGTGTTTCCGTCTATTAACATTCGTGAGCGTGTGTCGATGAGTAGATTGTGGTATTGTAACAGGTCTATACCAATGATTGGCATAGAAACATCTGCAACAACGAAAAGCCAGTGTATGGGTTTGTGTAAACCCACGTTAAGGTAAACGTACCTTTTACCATATGTAGCGATCGCTTT